AAATATGTACATATCTATATCTCTCAAACAAAACGTTTTCTCAACTAAATTCTGTTGTACACTTCCTATTATTGGGAGAGGACTTTTCAAAGTTGGATACCTTAACCATTTTCTTGAATGAATATAATATGTTTCAATCATTTCAGTTCTATTTACACACAATCAAACTTCTCAGTAACGAACCTGTTTCAGGCTCCCCCTTCTCTACTCACTAGACAGTGGAATGTTCCATTATACCCATAGGTGTTACCCTAATTAACCTTCTAGTTCAGTGTCAGTCAATTGACCGTCTGTCAAATGGGTGTCTGTCAATTGGGAGATAACCGATAGAGAAAGCTAGCAGCAATGAAGAAGGGGTGCTTCGTTTGGAGTAAGGGATAATTAGGGGGATTATATTAGTATATATCTGTGCATCTACTTCTGTGTATAGTATGTTTTGAGTCTTCTCATCCAATAAAGACTACAAGACAAGTACAATGATTTTGTTTTATTTTGTTTTGGGAAGCAGTTAGCATGCTTATATTGTAACCTCCAAAGCAGGATTAACTTAATCCTATTTGATCAAGTTGGATAGGCTTGTTTTAAATATGTTGTTACAGGCTTTGTCGGTCTTTGTCAGATTATGTCGAAAAACATGGAAACGGCTGACGTGTACAGGAGGACGTCACATCCATTCGACCATTCGTCACCACTCGCCCCTTTCCGTAACCTCCAAGAAGACTCGTCCCCACTCGATACTTGTTATGTGCGAAAATACGACAAGCCAATCAGAACGCGCCAATCAGAACAAGCCAATCAGAACGGTGCTTTGATAAAAATAATCCCGTGTACTTAAATCGTTTCTGGCAGTATGTCATCGCTTAAAAAATCATGAAAAATATATATCGTCATATTGTTAGTACAAAGAACGTAGCTGAAAGGATTTTGCTGCCTATTATAAAATTTTTAATAACAATCATGCGATTGACGGTGAGAAATTTAAATACACGCACGTGCGTTTGTTGACATAACTGCTGTCATGGGTCAGTCTAAGTAAACTTAGCCTCAGTATTATTCGTCACACTACTATACTGAGTAGAGGAGTGTGACGAATAGTACTGAGACTAAGTTTACTTAGACTGGCCTTATAAAATACGCTATCGGGCACCAAGCAACCTATGGTTATGTTCGAGGTGTATGCCTTATAAAATACGCTATAAGGGAACCAGGCAACCTATGGTTATGTCCGAGGTGCATGCCTTATACAATCCATGCTCATGTCAGAAGTATTGATGCCTGTTCATGTCAAACAATCCACACTTATGTCCGAGGTGTAGATGCCAGTTCATGCCAAACAATCCATGCTCATGTAAGAAATATTGATGCTAGTTCATGACAAACAATCCACACTTATGTCCGAGGTGTAGATGCTAGTTCATGCCAAACATTCCATGCTCATGTCAGAAGTATTGATGCCTGTTCATGTCAAACAATCCACACTTATGTCCGAGGTGTAGATGCCAGTTCATGCCAAACAATCCATGCTCATGTAAGAAATATTGATGCTAGTTCATGACAAACAATCCACACTTATGTCCGAGGTGTAGATGCTAGTTCATGCCAAACATTCCATGCTCATGTCAGAAGTATTGATGCCTGTTCATGCCAAACATTCCATGCTCATGTCAGAAGTATTGATGCCTGTTCATGTCAAACAATCCACACTTATGTCCGAGGTGTAGATGCTAGTTCATGCCAAACAACCCATGCTCATGTCCGAGGTGTAGATGCTAGTTCATACTAAACAACCCATGCTCATGTCAGAAGTATTGATGCTAGTCATGCCAAACAATCCATGCTCATGTCAGAAGTATTGACGCTAGTTCATAGCAAACAATACATGCTCATGTCCATGGAATAGATGCTAGTCATGCCAAACAATCCATGCTCATGTCAGAAGTAGAGGAGTGTAACGAATAGTACTGAGACTAAGTTTACTTAGACTGTCTCATCGGTCCAACTGAGTGTATTTCTGACGATCTTGCGGGGCTTGTTATGGAGATTGTACGTGCGCTTCAACCAATTTTAGGAAATGTAATTATAATCGCTACCAGTTTAAAAACAATAATTTCGTATTTGTATGTAACTAATCAACCTTAATCTTTAATATTGGGCTTATATTTCATAATATCTGCGGATATCTTAGTCTGACTGTGTTTTGATCATTCATATTTTTTTCAGCGATATATTTAAAATTCCGACAGGGGTGTGACAGCAAGGTCACACGAATGTTCAGTTTGAGAAATATCTGAAAGTCATTTTTGAGTAACTGCTTTAGGATTTAATGTAGCAGAATTTTGTTTATTTTATTTGTATATTCAATAAAACAAATCCCATTTGTGATGATTAAACCCTATTAAGAACCCTATTAATTAACATAAGTGGAAATATAAAGTGAACAGCTGGTAATAATTACATTAGAATATGTCTTTAACAAATTTGTTTTTCTCCTTCCTTTAGTTGTATCAAAGGGGTTTAATTCTTTAAAATAAATAAGTGAAAAAAAACCCCAAAACCTAGCAATACAATGTACATGTGCTTCGATGATTTTTAGAAACATTGGAATCAAACAGGGATAGAGTTATCGTTCTTACTTAAAGTAGTTTCTGATGTTCATGCGCCAATATGAAATCCTTCCAGAAGGGCACGAGTCGCTATTCGGCTTGTCCCGGAATAACACGAGTTGGTCACGAATGCCATTCGACAGCTGAATGCAATATATTTTATGGATTCAACTTCAGAATATAGAACTGTGGGAAATTTGTCTGGTGTTGTGAAGTTCACCGTTTGTAAAAGCATACATGAAGTATATCAGACTGTGACGTTTAGCTTCCGGAATATGTAACATTTCCTGACATGACAAAATTCACTCAAAGTGCAAATAAATATACTTTTGCACATGTGTAAATATACTTTTGCACATGTGTAAACATACTTTTGCACCTGGTCCTGGCCACATGTAAATATGCTCATAGTGTATATTTACATACGTGAGTAAATGCGTTCACATGACACTTTTATGTCCGAAATACCATTCAAACTGCGGTAAAACAAGCTCACTCATAGGAGTGATCGTTTGACGAACCGTCACGAACACGACCATATATACTGACAATCACTTTAAGAGGAAATACATTTCAAAACGATCAACCATTGGTAAAGGCCTGTAATCCATCAGCCGCCTTACCGTGATACCTTTGTTCCGGGATACTTATTAAAGTGTATCCGAACCTTAAACATACAAGGAGTTTGATCATATAATGCGTGTGGATCTCGGGATCAATTACATTTTTTGACGCACCTCTAACTAATGCGTAATGATTTGGGTAGCAAATATTTTCATAACCAGATTTCTCGTTATTTCATGTTGGTTTTTGTTCATTTGTTCGATTTGTTTGTTGTTTAACGCTCCAATATTCCAATCATATGGCGGTTATTTCTTCGAGATTATTGTTTCAGATTTGTTAGCAGAAAAAAGTAATGTAGACAATAACGAAATGAAGCCAACTATAATGACAGAAGACAAATGTTTACTTAGACAATAATGAATAACGACAATAGTTCAAGCAGACATTAAAGAAAATGAGACAATAGTGGATGCGGACAATAATGAATAGCGACAATAGTTCAAGCAGACATTAAAGAAAATGAGACAATAGTGGATGCGGACAATAATGAATAGCGACAATAGTTCAAGCAGACATTAAAGAAAATGAGACAATAGACACGACAATTAAAGAAAATGAGACAATAGTGGATGCGGACAATAATGAATAGCGACAATAGTTCAAGCAGACATTAAAGAAAATGAGACAATAGTGGATGCGGACAATAATGAATAACGACAATAGTTCAAGCAGACATTAAAGAAAATGAGACAATAGTGGATGCGGACAATAATGAATAACGACAATATGAATAACGACAATAGTTCATGTAGACATAAAAGAAAATGAGACAATAGTGGATGCGGACAATAATGAATAACGACAATATTCAAGCAGACATTAAAGAAAATGAGACAAAGGTTCATGCAGGCAATAACGAACAGTTTATGTAAGCAATATGTGGTGGATAAAATCACAAGTAAACTCAAAACAATTTTCTCACACATATTCTAAAGAGAACCAAATTTATTATCCTGTTGCAAAAGTTATGACAATCAGATACATTGGCTATTTGTATATATCATGCAGATTACAAAAAGTGTCACTATCATAAAGCATGTAGTGATTTAAACAAACTGATACGTGTTCTGTGTCACGTTCTATTAAAAGTCACGACATTCGCGGTTGAACACTGGGGCGGAAAGCAAAGTAAAACAATCTTATTCTCACACGGTGCCCCTTTTACTTCCTTGTGCTAGAATTTGCAATTAATACCTGGGTGAAATTGAAATGTCATCCCCTTGTACGTTCGTCTGCCATGTTTGTTGAGCTGATTTACATGATACATGTTGGATTAGCAGGGGACGTAATTCACACGTATCGGAGAGTAGTCTCCCTTTAATATGTCGTTCAAAGGATTCACAGATTTGAGCCAGCGGCGATGAAATGATCAAACCTTGGCACAATTTCTTTAACATTCCAGAACTGCCAAACCATCGAAAGATGATTTACTTTTCGTTTGATCTTGTTCATATTTTGCACATGTATCATGAACCATCTCAGCTCCACAGACATAACTTCGGTTTTATTTTCCATTCAGTATTTCAAGAATGACCACACCTTTATTGATGCGTGTCATGGTTATGACAATTTTTAACATGGCGGTCTTTGGGGAAAGAATACACAATGTTGTATATATGTTGCTCATGTGACTACAATGCGGAAAATACTTGAAGGAACACTACATGCAAATTATGTATCTGTGACCAGGATGATTTCCTAACTGTCTGCAAAATTTGACAACCAAATAACGAAAACTGAATTAATGACAATTAGTACAGCTACATTAAAATAACATGCAAGTCTATGATAATTTTGCCAACTGACGAATACTTTTGTCCCATGACTGTATAACAACTCCACGGCCTTGTAAACAAGGCGGTCACTGCGCTCGTACGGTCGTAGCTTCCGCACTTAAACGTGATTAATGACAATAAGATCGCTTTGTGGGACGGGGCCCTGGTCTGCTGTAGTTTCAGTCAGTTTGAGGCGTGGGCAGCCACTGTGTGGTAAAACGGGGATTATACAATGGTTGCATTTTACACCCGAAGAGGTCCCGTCTATACTCTCTTCATCTTGTAGGTCATGGAGACATCATCCTTGCTCGATATCTGCAGCAAAAAGTGGATGACTATGCTATTTGTGGTGGCCGGTGTATTCTCTACCTAGAATATTACAGGCAGTGTAACTGGATAGCCCTTGCAACCATCATGTGTCTTGCTATATATCTGGATAGTCCCCACTACACACGGTGACTACCATGTCCCCGCTTCCATATGCGGATAGTCCTTATTAATCATTAATCATTATTAATCACTAAAGCGTTCGTTCGTAACGCCGAAGACCCGGGTTCGATTCCCCACATGGGTGCAATGTGTGAAGCCCATTTCTGGTATCACCCGCCGTGATATTGCTGGAATATTGCTAAGAGTGCCGTAAAACCAGACACTCACTCATTATTTATCATTACGGGACGCATGAATGTCTCATGTTCTATATCTGGATAGCCTCTACCATTCACAAAGACAACCATATTCCCCCTCTGTATATCTGGGTTGCCACAACTACTCAGAGACAAGTATGTTCCCGTTACATACCCGAATACTCAAGACTAGTCATAAAGACAGCTATATTCTTCTCTATATATGTATTGCTATAAGCGGCGTTAAACCATATTCACTCACTCACTCACTTCTCTATTATGTATCAGGATAGTCCCCATTACTAACCATAATGACAATATTTGTCTTCAACTATATATCTCGATAGTCCTCTACTCACAGTGACAACCACATTAGCACTACTCAACACGACAATTAGATGCATCTCAGGACTAGTGTCGCTCATACCAAAACTTAGAGACAACCATATTTCCTCTTCATTAGTGGACTGTCCCCGATACTCGCCAGGACAACAGTTGAACCCCCTCTCTATTCCTGGATAGTCTCCACCACTCACCAACAATACGATTGAACCATTCCTCCTTTATATTCCTGGATAGTCCCCACTACTCACCAAGACAACGGTTGAACCATTCCCCTCTATATTCCTTGACAGCCGCCACTGCTCACCATGACAACGGTTAAGCCTCTACTCCTCTATATTCCTGGATAGTCCCCACTACTCACCTAGACAACGGTTGAAACATTCCCAATCTATATTCCTGGATAGTCCTCACAACTCACCTAGACAACGGTTGAAACATTCCCCATCCATATTCCTGGATAGTCCCCACTACTCGCCATGACAACGGTTGAAACATTCCCCCTCTATATTCCTGGATAGTCACCACTACTACTACTCACCATGACAACAGTTGAAACATTCCCTCTATACTCACCATGACAAAGTCATTCCTCCCTATACTGGATACTACTACTCACTCACCATGACAACAGTTGAACTCGTTCTCCCTCTATATTCCTGGATAGTCACCACTACTACTACTCACCATGACAACAGTTGAAATATTCTCCCTCCTCTGGATATATTCTCCACCATGAATAGTCACCACTACTACACTACTCACCATGACAACAGTTGAAACATTCCCCCTCTATATTCCTGGATAGTCACCACTACTACTACTCACCATGACAACAGTTGAAACAGTTCCCCTCTCCTCTATATTCCTGATAGTCACCACTACTACTACTCACCATGACAACAGTTGAACCGTTCTCCCTCTATATTCCTGGATAGTCACCACTACTACTACTCACCATGACAACAGTTGAACCGTTCTCCCTCTATATTCCTGGATAGTCACCACTACTACTGAACCACTATATTCCTGATACCATGACAACGGTTGAAACATTCCCCTCTATATTCCTGGATAGTCACCACTACTACTACTCACCATGACAACAGTTGAACCATTCTCCTCTATATTCCTGGATAGTCACCACTACTACTACTCACCATGACAACAGTTGAACCGTTCTCCCTCTATATTCCTGGATAGTCACCACTACTACTACTCACCATGACAACAGTTGAACCGTTCCCCTCTATATTCCTGGATAGTCACCACTACTACTACTCACCATGACAACAGTTGAACCGTTCTCCCTCTATATTCCTGGATAGTCACCGCTACTACTCACCATGACAACAGTTGAACCATTCTCCTCTATATTCCTTGATAGCCGCCACTACTACTACTCACCATGACAACGGTTGAAACATTCTCCTCTCTATATTCCTGGATAGCCGCCACTACTCTGCTCACTATGACAACAGTTGAACCATTTCCTCTATATTCCTGGATAGCCGCCACTATCACTACTCACCATGACAACAGTTGAATCATTCCTCCTCTATATTCCTGGATAGCCGCTACACTACTCACCATGACAACGGTTGAACCATTCCTCCTCTATATTCTTGATAGCCGCCACTACTCACCAAGACAACGGTTGAACCATTCCTCCTCTATATTCCTTGATAGCCGCCACTACTCACCAAGACAACGGTTGAAACATTCCCCATATATATTCACGGATCACCACTACTCACCATGACAACGGTTGAAACATTTCCCCATATATCCTGGATAGTCACCACTACTACTACTCACCATGACAACAGTTGAAACTGTTCTCCCTCTATATTCCTGAATAGTCCTCACAACTCACCAAGACAACGGTTGAACCATTCCTCCTCTTTATCATTGGATAGCCGCCACTACTCACCATGACAACGGTTGAAACATTCCTCATCTATATTCCTGGATAGTCACCACTACTACTACTCACCATGACAACAGTTGAACCGTTCTCCCTCTATATTCCTGGATACTCACCACTACTACTCCTCACCATGACAACGGTTGAAACATTCCCCCTCTATATTCCTGGATAGTCACCACTACTAGTACTCACCATGACAACAGTTGAACCGTTCTCCCTCTATATTCCTGAATAGTCCTCACAACTCACCAAGACAACGGTTGAACCATTCCTCCTCTTTATCATTGGATAGCCGCCACTACTCACCATGACAACGGTTGAAACATTCCTCATCTATATTCCTGGATAGTCACCACTACTACTACTCACCATGACAACAGTTGAACCGTTCTCCCTTATATTCCCTGAATAGTCCACCGCTTCACCAAGACAACGGTGTTGAACCATTCCTCCTCTTTATCATTGATCACAGCTCGCCACTACTCACCATGACAACGGTTGAAACATCTTCATCTATATTCCTGGATAGTCACCACTCGCCAATTTCTGAATAGTTTCCACTAACCAAGACAACGGTTAAACCTCTACCTCTATAATTGGATAGTCCCACTACTCTCACAACCACATAATACAACATACCATTTAACTAATCACAGTGACGTTACTTTCCACAGCCCACAAAACAACTTCCCTCCCTATAGCTGGGATAGTCCGAATACTAACTGCAAGCCCCTAGGAATAGTCCCCACTACTCACACTGATCACTCATTCTTTCTACATACCGGATAAACTGAAACCATAAAATCCAGTCTCCACAAGATCTTCCCAACGGGTGCAATGTGTGGCTCCCTTCCTATGCTGGAATACTAAAAAGTGACGTAAACTAAACTACTAACTGAATGTCAACAGTCATTCTTGTTTAATATAAGGACATTTATTTCCGCAAGATTAGACAATGGCATTCGAAACATGGTTTTGGCCAACCATTCAGTTAATTTTTTCCCAGGAAAGTAAAATGAGACACCACAAACAACTATTTTAAACTTTAATAACATCGTATTTCTATCTTTTATGGCGAGGTGTGGGCAGCATGACCTAAACTAAGACGTCACAGACTGCCCCTGTTTGATGAGGTCGTAAAATGACTCCTAAGTCATCTGGCTCACCTGATATGTGCTTTTTGCGCTTATTCAGTGTAGTTTTGTTACGCACAATGTGATTGATATAATATCAAGTTCGTACCAGACCGCCAAACTTTTCTACCGAAGAGCCTCGTTTTGAGATTTCCACGATTTTCAGATTTCCGTTTCTCAGAGCACGCTGTACGACAGAGCACGCTGCACGACAGAGCACGCTGCACGACGTATTTGCAAGGATTACAAGGACCGTAGTGTTGCAGTGCTTAGATGTATCAGATAATACTAATTAATATTATGTATCCAGTTGAATGAATTGGTCTCAAAATTCTGGACTGGTTATTGTACTAAGTTGCGCAATAGGACGGAACCCAGTCAACAGGAAACGAGACTGGTGTGTAATCAATGTTTTGACTTGCAGCAATATTCCAGATACACAGTCTAGCTATATGGTCTCTAAATAATTGAGTGTAGGACAGACAATCCAGTGATCAACAGCATGAGCATCGAACTACGCAATTGGGACACAATGACATGTATCAACCAAGTCAGCGGGGCTGACCACCCGATCCCGTTAGTCGCTAAATAGTCGCTAGTTGCTGAAGACCAAATCTTATCCGGATCTTCACTTGTGTCATCAAACAGCGCATCACCTTCAAGATCCTCTGCCTGACCTAGACCGCCTCCGTGGTGCAGTGGTTAGAGCGGCCGCCCGGAGAGCGGAAGGTCGCGGGTTCGATCCCCGACCACAACATATCAAAAGACGTTAAAATATGGTACTTGTTGGTCCCTGTCTGGAGCTCGGCATTAATGGGTACAACAAGGACTGGTCGACTCGGAGTCAGTATAATGTGTCAGTATTCATGCTTCACTGCGGCATGGTATCTCAGTGGGCTGGCACTATAAAACCAGCTTAAGTCTGGGCTAGTACAAGCAGCCGCCCATACACATACACACGCATGCACGTCGTCATATGAGCGAAATATTCTCAAGCACGACGTTAAACCCAATTCACCTCACCTCACCTCACCTCACCTCTGCCTGACCTACTCTGCACGCCACTCCGACTCAGCTCCTGTTTATCTCAAAGAATATTCTGACTCCATATCTCCCGACACGCAATCTTCGCTCATCTCAACAACATTTAGTTCCTTTTACAATAACTAAACTGGCTAGCAACGCCTTTTCTGTAGCTTCACCAACTCTGTGGAACAGCTTATCACAGGGGATCAGATCCTCTGAAACCTTTGACATCTTCTGCCAGAAATTAAGAACTTTTCTATTCAATCAGTAGCTATCCTCCTCTTTCCTGTATGTAAAGCACCATGGAGCAGCTTATGCTGGATAATAGGTGATATACAAATGTATTATTATTATTGTTATTATTTAGAAAGACACCTCACCGTCATCCCTGAACCATCGAATCCTTTATATTCCAATGGTTCTCCTTCTGTGAATCAGAGTTCTTATTTTATAGGTTGGACTTTGTATTCTAAGTCAAGATGTAGTTTACTTCCCTCCAACTTCAATGTTGTAATCATTACAAGATTATTTATCATTTCCTTTTGTTCCTGTGGCACCCCTGAAAGAGAAAACAGTTTTGGAATTTTAATTTGAGGGTGCACAATGCTATTTCTCATACATTAAGCCTCAACCCATCTGCGCCGCATTAATGGACGCGCATCAGGTACTTGAGGCCAGTTTACAATATTTCTGGCTTCAGGGTAAGGCAACAATCAAAACACTTACGTCAGAATATTTATTTAATTTTATGAAAAAAAGATTCTGAACAACCATAAAGCATCGAACGTGTACTTTCGTTTGTATGTCAGTATATTTAGTTAGTGAGTGGAAGTTTAGTTTTACGCCGCGTTTAGCAAGATATGATTTGAGACACCAGAAATGGCTATCACACTTTGTACCCACGTGGGGAATCGAACCTGGATTTCGGCGTGACGAGCGAACGCTTTAACCACTAGGCTACACTCATAGTTATTAGTAGTGAGATCATCCGGGGCGGTGGGGCAGCCTAATGGTTAAAGCGTTGGCTCGTCACGCCGAACACCCTGAACTCTGAATCCCTACATGGGCACACAATGTGAAGCCCATTTCCTGGTGTCCCCTGCCGATGTTGCTGGAATAATGCTAAAAGCTGCGTAAAACCAAACTCAATAGCCAAATCAATCAGTCAGTGAGACTATCCGGGTATGTAGAAAGAGGCATTGTTGTCGATGAGGGTCAGTAGGGACTATCTAGCCTCAAGGGACATAATTGCTCCAGATCCAGATATGTAGAAAGAGATCGCAGTTTGTAATGGACTAGCCAGATATAAAGAGAGGCGTAGTGGTGTCTGTGGGCTGTGGACAATTGTTATCACTGTTATTAGTTAATGGTATATTGTAATATATTGAGGGGCATTTTGTCACCGTGAGTAGTGGGGAGTTACCAGGAATGTAGAGGGAGGACTGGTTTAACCGTTGTGTCGGATAGTGGAAACTGCACAATGCTATTTCACATACATTAAGCCTCAACCCATCTGCGCCGCATTAATGGACGCGCATCAGGTACTTGAGGCCAGTTTACAATGTTTCTGACTTTGTAAGGCAAAACAATCAAAACACTTACGTCAGAATATTTATTTAATTTTTATGAAAAGATTCTGAACAACCATAAAGCATCGAACGTGTACTTTCGTTTGTATGTCAGTATATTTAGTTAGTGAGTGAGTTTAGTTTTACGCCGCGTTTAGCAAGATATGATTTGAGACACCAGAAATGGGCTTCACACTTTGTAACCCATCGGGAATCGAACCCGGGACTTCGGCGTGACGAGCGAAAGTCTTAAACTAGGCTACACTCATAGTTAATAGTGAGACTATCCGGGGCGATGGGGTAGCCTAATGGTTAAAGCGTTGGCTCGTCACGCCGAACACCCGGGTTCGAATCCCCACATGGGCACAATGTGTGAAGCCCATTTCTGGTGTCCCCCGCTGTGATGTTGCTGGAATAATGCTAAAAGCTGCGTAAAACCAAACTCAGTCAGTCAGTCAGTCAGTCAGTGAGACTATCCGGGTATGTAGAAAGAGGCATTGTTGTCGATGAGGGTCGTGGGGACTATCTAGCCTCAAGGGACATAATTGTCATATCCAGATATGTAGAAAGAGATCGCAGTTTGTAATGGGACTACCCAGATATAAAGAGAGAGGCGTAGTGGTGTCTGTGGGCTGTGGAAAATGGTTATCACTGTTATTAGTTAATGGTATATTGTAATATATTGAGGGGGTATTTTGTCACTGTGAGTAGTGGGGAGTTACCAGGAATGTAGAGGAGGACTGGTTTAACCGTTGTGTCGGATAGTGGAAACTGTTCAGGAATTGGAGGAGGAATGGTTCAACTGTTGCCCTATATTTAGTCAGTTGCACGATGCTATTTCACATACCAAACGCCTCAACCCATCTTCGCCGCATTAGTGGACCCGCATCTGCTACTTTATAAACTAAGCTAGTTCACGATGTTTGTGACCTGGAAGTCAAAAACAATCAAAACACCTGCGTCAAAATATTTACCTAATTTTTATTTTAAAAAAGAAATTCTGAACACCCAAAAAGCATCGAATGTGTACTTTCTTTTATATATCAGTATATTTAGTTAGTGAGTGAGTGGGTTTAGTTTTACGCCGCTTTTAGCAAGATATGATGGGAGACACCAGAAATAGGCATCACACATTGTACCCATGTGGGGAATCGAACCCGGGTCTTCGACGTGACGAGTGAACGCCTTAACCAACAGGCTACCCAACCGCCCCATAGTTGGTTAGTTGCTCTCGTCTGCCAGAGAGACCATATTAGTTTCATTAACTCTATAGTGTTTCTCATAGTTTAATCAAAATATATCAAAGCCTACCAGATGAAAGCTTTTATTCTGAAAGAAAGGATAACGTAAATTTTATATATGGTGATAGCATCGTATCCATGACACCGAGAGCCATGACAACGCAAAACTCAATTATTAAATAACTTGCAAGGTGGTAGCAAGAGTGTAATTCTAAAGAATCGGCGTAGAACCTTCAACTGAGGATCCTTTTGTAGTACGAAAAGATATAATCTTTTGTTCCAGATGGAGGCCCGCCTCAACGCCAAGTATATGTATCAGGGAACGAATCTTTGGCTATGTGCCATGTCTACTTGTCTACTCGTAGTGAACGAACGGTCGGCCGTTCGATCAGAGGACGAGTCATACCAGAAAACAAGCGCTGGTCGGCTCGGTATCGGTATACTGTATTCTTGTCAAATATATCTATACTGACGTACAAAAGAAAGTAAACACTTGATGTTTGGGGTTTATTAAAAACGGCCAAAATAGTAGAGGACAAAAAAATGATCTTTGAAAAATACTAACTTTGGGTTATTTTGTTTCATTTCTATTTTGTACCTTTTTTTATTTCACCAACATGGACAGAAAATCTAATATTTTAGTCCAACGTGTGTCAAGGGAGTGCGATCAAGACAGGTTCCCTAGAAGGCTTCTGGCTACCTGTAATGCGCAGGCGCAGACTATCCAGGTAACCAGGCTGAGTACTCGTTGTGAGTGAGCTATCCCGCACGTAATCTCGAGACCCAGGGGGCATTGCGAAACAGCAATAACAAAATTTAACATGTATTTTCTCTATGTCTCTTTCAGTATGTCAACCTTATCGACTCGGTGTCGGTGCAATCTATAGGTAAATATCATCGAGACAGATCGAGAACGATGTATGCAAATTTGCCACTTGTACTGATTCTCAGTTGGGGATATATAACATAATATGATGATATTTTTTATCTTTATGTACGCAAGGGCCTTATATATTCACATTGGTGAACTTTCTCATGGGTGAACGCGGTCGACTTTTCCGACTATGTAAAGCAATATACAAGGCTATTGAGACCTTCACATAAGAGATTCGATTTTAACATTGACAGAATTGTTTGTTTAATATTGATGACAGCTGAATGATATGTACTTCTTTCTTAATGCGGGTGTGGTGCACGAGGGACTCTATGATTGAACTGATAATGGTTCATTGTTCGGGTATTTAAACACCATTTTTTGTAGCTCATTTACCAGAGGATGTAGAAGTACATCGTAAATATAGAAAACATTTTTAGCCACTCATTTTGCAAACGAAACAGAGTTTACAAGCGGAGAGGGGAGACAAGCAATGCAGGGCTCCATTCCACAAAGAGATCATAGCGCTAAGGTGATCGTAACTCCCACACTTAAACATTGGCTTACGGTCGTGGTAACGCTGAAACGGCCTTGTCGAACTTGGCCCGGGATCCCGTTTCACAAACAGTGTGCGAAATAGTTTCCAAATTTTGCTACTGAGCCAGTCGGGCTAGTTATGCCTGAAAGTAACTAGCCCACAAAATATTTCACTGGCCCGAAGTTTGAATGAAGACACGTGTTTCATCATTAAGCTGCTAATATGATGAACATTTTTATCAAGCCATAATCTTGCATGATTTAAAAGTGTATTATAACTTATCAAGTCGGAGAGAGTGATATATTTACAAAATGACCCCATGACAATTCACTAGCCAGTTGGGCCAATGACTGTGGAGATTGACTGGCCCGACTGGACTTTTACTAGCCACAGGCTACCGGGCCAGTGGCTATTTCGCACACTGTTCACAAAGCGATCGTAGCGCTACGACTCTCGACTATAGGAGTTACGAGAGTCGTAGCGCTACAATCTCTTTGTGAAACGGGTCCCAGGGTTTTGTTTCAGTGTTACTAGTGGGGGTAGTTAAAAGCCATTTTTAGCATTGTTTTAGCTTCATCACGGCGAGAAGATATGGCGTCAGCGTTCGAAATTAACGTCGGTCCTTAGGCCCGAAGCCGACTGAAAACCACTCGGACCCGCTGCTTTTGCTTTCTGCAGGTCCTTAAGGCCGACATCTTTTTCATCTTATTTCAATATTAAAATATAGGGCCTATACATTCTGATCAGGACCCACAACTTGTTATGGTTCTGGCTCCTTAGAGTCTTCAGCTTTCGGGGTTAAGGGCAAACACTGTATGGTATGGGGAAAAGTAATGTTATCACTTAAGGAAACACAAAATACATAGCAACGCTAAAGAAAAACAGATTAACCGACGAAACCCACACAATTAAAGATACCAGAATAGTCTTAACGGGTAAAAGAGCGATCGAACAACGACTATATGCATGATGCTGACAATTCTAGATACATAATTGGCGCTATCTGAGATTTAAATCCATGAGCATAGGTTTCTTGCACACCAAAGAGCGACAATTCTGTCTTTTGAAAGTAGGCGTCTTAGCCGCCTGTGATTAGCGCAGTGATGAAGATGCTGATGGTTACGTCTTGTGAAGGGCCATTGAATGAGTGTTTATTCATTAGCGCAGTGATGTCGATGCTGATGGTTACGTCATGTGAAGGGCCAGTGAATGAGTGTTTATTCATTAGCGCAGTGATGAAGATGCTGATGGTAACGTCTTGTGAAGGGCCAGTGAATGAGTGTTTATTCATTAGCGCAGTGATGAAGATGCTGATGGTTACGTCATGTGAAGGGCCAGTGAATGAGTGTTTATTCATTAGCGCAGTGATGAAGATGCTGATGGTTACGTCTTGTGAAGGGCCAGTGAATGAGTGTTTATTCATTAGCGCAGTGACGAAGATGCTGATGGTTACGTCATGTGAAGGGCCAGTGAAAGAGTGTTTATTCATTAGCGCAGTGATGAAGATGCTGATGGTTACGTCATGTGAAGGGCCAGTGAATGAGTGTTTATTCATTAGCGCAGTGATGAAGATGCTGATGGTTACGTCTTGTGAAGGGCCAGTGAATGAGTGTTTATTCATTAGCGCAGTGATGACGATGCTGATGGTTACGTCTTGTGAAGGGCCAGTGAATGAGTGTTTATTCATTAGCGCAGTGATGAAGATGCTGATGGTTACGTCTTGTGAAGGGCCAGTGAATGAGTGTTTATTCATTAGCGCAGTGATGAAGATGCTGATGGTTACGTCATGTGAAGGGCCAGTGAATGAGTGTTTATTCATTAGCGCAGTGATGACGATGCTGATGGTTACGTCTTGTGAAGGGCCAGTGAATGAGTGTTTATTCATTAGCGCAGTGATGAAGATGCTGATGGTTACGTCATGTGAAGGGCCAGTGAATGAGTGTTTATTCATTAGCGCAGTGATGAAGATGCTGATGGTGTGAAGGGCCAGTGAAAGAGTGTTTATTCATTAGCGCAGTGATGAAGATGCTGATGGCGTCAGTGAAGGGCCAGTGAATGAGTGTTTATTCATTAGCGCAGTGATGACGATGCTGATGGTTACGTCATGTGAAGGGCCAGTGAATGAGTGTTTATTCATTAGCGCAGTGATGACGATGCTGATGGTTACGTCTTGTGAAGGGCCAGTGAATGAGTGTTTATTCATTAGCGCAGTGATGATTATTTGCTTGTGAAGGGCCAGTGAATGGTTATGCTGAATGGTTTATTCATTAGCGCAGTGATGAAGATGTGTTACGTCTTGTGAAGAGGCCAGTGAATGAGTGTTTATTCATTAGCGCAGTGATGAAGATGCTGATGGTTACGTCAGTGAATGAGTGAAGGGCCAGTGAATGAGTGTTTATTCATTAGCGCAGTGATGACGATGCTGATGGTTACGTCATGTGAAGGGCCAGTGAAAGAGTGTTTATTCATTAGCGCAGTGATGAAGATGCTGATGGTTACGTCATGTGAAGGGCCAGTGAATGAGTGTTTATTCATTAGCGCAGTGATGAAGACGCTGATGGTAACGTCTTGTGAAGGGCCAATACTCGCTCGCTCACTCTTTCACTCCCTAAAAGCAAGAATAACATAATTTTGCAATCATCTTTAAAGAGATTATACATTGCTGTGGACTTTCACATTGCTTATTATAGCATTACATCACATCACAAGACAAAAAAACTGTCGTTTTCCTAAATACTAATATGGATAAAATATGTATTTCTCAAAAAACATGAACGTGTTTGACGATTTACTTAAAGGTCACATGCAACCAAAAATCAAACATAATTAAAACACAATTTTCACTTCTTCATTATATTAATATGCATTGCTGATTATGAAAAAACAAATAAACAAAATTATAAGCGTATAATCGCAAATCAAAAGTGCAATATTTTGTACTTGGGTTTACCTCCCTCGAAACGAAGCAGCCGGGATACCGAACCCAGTCAGAGCGGGTGGGTGTGTACTCAAGTGTAACGGCTGGTTCATTAGCAGATGCCGCCTTCACAACTCATTGTGTGTGTATATATCGAGATGTTGGGTTTTGTAAATACATGCTCATTTTTTGTGTATAACATTTTGCAATCAACAGACATCATAACATGTCATGTGTTCAAGTATCACACCTGCCTGTCTGTGTAATTACATAATTTGACAGAGACCGAACTCGGGCCATAAATCAATGCGTTTTGTTTATGGTGTATAGCCTGATTGGTGTTAAGTTCAAATTGCATGTGGTCAGTGATCGCAGTTGTGTATTGAATATTGTCATTAGCAGACAGGCAGGCAGACACACAGGTGTCAATAAAACAAGACATTGAGTTTTGTCTGTGACAACGACATATCTATATCACAGTTAGAAATTGTGTCAACGCTAAATAATGACATTGCCTTTAAGTATCGAACTGAGAAAGTGACTCGGTAAGAAGAACGTGTGGTGAAATAGACAAATGAAATTATATAAACAGTTTATTTACTGTCATAACTTATAAAAAGTTTGCGACTGTGAGATATCAACAAAACATTATGAAAATAGCTCACACCAAAGCCTTCACCGAGTATTCACCAGACAGCCCGCTTCCAAGTTGCGCGAACCTATTTCACTGCGCACGTGCTATGAGCGGTTTTTTTCATCGCGTTATTTTTCAGCTTTATAAGTTGAATTTGCATTTTTGACGCTTTGTTTCGATAAGTCCATACCGAAAGGTATCAGAATCTGCAAAGTTGTGTTTTACGTTGCATGTGACCTCTAAATTCATTACTGAGATGATCGCAGAACTGTTTTTAGTCTTACCCATTTTCTCTGAAAATGCGTCCATATTCTCATACAATTCTGGTACCAATTCCCATTTTCCATTAAACTTCTCCATTTTGATTCCCAAAGATGATAACCACCTATGTTCTCAATTGTTTTGGAGTTCGTGTATGTCAGGTAATGCTTTATATATATATCGACCTCTAGTACATGGTGAGTACATACACCGTTGCTATGTTCACACAATACTGTGTGACAACACGTAGCTGGTATATTCGCCAGGCAGTACAAACTAGGTCGCGTGTTAATCATTTGTCCTGCAGTATCACTGGATCTCATGACTTTGACCTCTGTATGAGTCATGGGTGTCCAGCTGGTTAATGCTATCAGGGTACATGTATACCGTAATTCCTAGCTGTTACGTCAGGGGCGAGTTGTGACGATTGACCCAAATCTTGATACTGACAATTACGACAATTACCTGTCCAAACACGATCGACTACTAGTATATGCCGTAACGGAAAGGGCAGGTTTGGCCGAAACCCTTCGGTAGGGGTGCAATCACCCAAGTCGTCTGTGTCTGGACCAATGAAGATTCGGGTTAGAATTGGTCTCTAGCAACCCATGCTTGTCGTAAAAGGCGACTAACTTGGCTGACATATATCATCGTATCCCAGTTGCGTAGATCGATGCTCATGCTAATGATCACTGGATTGTCTGGTCCAGAATATTTACAGACCGCCGCCAAGGAGCTGAAATATCGCAAACTAAGGCCTGTGGGGACGAGTCGTCTTGCGTCATCTACAGTCGACCAATATTTGGGCTTTCAACTTCAGTCAGACATTTGCCTTTTCTTTCTGTCGTTGGCTCCGTCTGGTTTACACTAGTTTAATGAAAGGGTTATTTAGTGAAGAGTTATGACTGCGCACTTTAAGATTGGCAAGCATCACCGTGTACTACATCTGGCAAGAACAGCGAGTGAGTGAGTTTAGTTTAACCCCGCTTTTAGCAATATTCCGGCAATATCACGGCAGGGGACACCAGAAATGGGCTTCACACATTGTACCCATGTGGGGAATCTAACCCAGGTCCTCTGCATGACGAGCGAACGCTTTAACCACCAGGCTAACTCCGCCGCCCCAACTTGGGAATAGAATCTTTAATTAGTAATATCTGTATGTTTGCAACTCTGTATAGGAAACAAATGGAAATAGTAAGACTGGGGACTCCATGTTCGTCCGGTGCCAGTAGAGCAGATGCTTGTCAATATTCCGGTATGGTCTGTTCCGAGAAGCATCCCAAAATAAAGGCTCCCACCACGTCTTCAAGCACAGGCAAACTGTAGCGCAAATAGGGCTGCGCAGCAAAGAGAAAAAATACCAGTCGTATATAGGAAGACTTGTCATTTTCTCTTTGTTGCGCAGCCCTATTTGCTACAGTTTGCCTGTGCTTCAAGGCATGTGCCATACCGCTTAGCTTGTCTTGGCACCCAACATATATTAAGAGTGAGTGGGTGACTACAGGTTAACGCCGCTTTTAGCAATATTCCAGCAATATCAGAGCGGGGGACACCAGAAATGACCATTTAATCCATGTGGCGAATCGAACCCGGGTCGCTAGGGTGACGAGTGAACATTTTAATCACTAGGCTACCCCAACCCCTTCAACTCATATCAGTTGCATATATGTCTCGTACAGATAACAGTATATGGCCCTTGGTTCATATATTGCATGGATACTCTTTACATACACACAAAGAAATGGAAAAAAACTATTACATTTCAATATCCAATCTTTTGGCATCTGCGTTCAAGAGGCGCATTTGTGGGAACCATGGAATTGCGATATCTGGGACACCACTAGCAAACACCACTACATTCCGTTTGAGACAAAATGATACCGATGTACTTGCAATCTAACGCAAAAACAAATAGACATAAAAGAATCAATCTAACGACCTTGTAACAAACTGGGAAACCGCACAAATAAATGATGACAGTTTCTTAAACGTTTTTATTTTTGTGACAAAAACTCTGCAATTGTTTTCTAGTGTTCGTCTGTTGTTTTTATTGCAGTCCACGTTGGTTTGATTCTTTTATGTCTTTTTGTTTTTGTGTTAGATTGCAATTGATCGGTATCATTTTGTCTCAAACGGACTTTAGATCCCGTTAGTCGCCTCTTACGACAAGCATTGGTTGCTGAAAACCAATTCTAACCCTGATCTTCTCGGGTTGTATTCTTGCATGTCGCTATTTAGATGTGCTTTACAATCAGCTTAAAACTGACACAGGTGTCATTTCTGCTACGTCTATGACTAAATCAGAGTGACCCTGGAGGTTGTGAAGCGTTTTCTAAAAGGGTCGTGAAAAACCTGCGTTAAATCTTTAAATGTTATCGTCATTTCGAGAAATGTTGTCTGTTACTTTTGAAAGAAATACAGATTCGAAGCCCCGAGAAGCAGGTCCTGGCATTGCTATATATAACTAGGAAAACAGTAAACCACCACTGAGTAAGGCTCAGTACACATATCAATAATATACGCCTAATAGTGTTCCTTTATTCATTTCCAGGTTTCTTGACAAGGTATGTTCAGTCGAGCACCGTTGTCTCGATATTCAAGGGACCATGAAATATATCGAGTTATCCGAACTTCGAGACATCCGACCAGGGCACATCATCACATATCACTATGAAACAAAACAAAAAGTTTCGAAACTATAATCCGTTATCAGTAGTACGTGTTAAGTTGTAACAGTGAGTACTTCCTAATTGTTTCCAAAGGTGACACCTTCGACTCAATTAGCCCTAATTAGTTTACACTGCCACATCCCTTTGATTCATGCCGCACCGTGTGGAAACGTGTGGAAACAACCTCAGTTCAGAGGGATACTTGCCCATGAAAGGTTGGTGAATATCGAGTTTCTTTACAAATATCGAGTTAAAAGGGTACTTTTCAATGTTGGGACCATGAAATTATATCGAGATATCCGAAATATCTAGACATCCGTATCGAGTTAAAAGAGCTTGAATAATGATAAATTATGAAGGATTTTGCCGGGACCGAGATGTTACATCAAGACAACCGAGATATCGAGGTATCAGAGTTCGACACAGTGTATTATGAAGGATGTTGCCGGGATCGAGATGTTATATCGAGACAACCGAGATATCGAGTTATCAGAGTTCGACACAGTGTATCGTGAAAAAAGTAAAGGAACACTTGTACTTTCATGTGTTCCCTTATTCATTTCTATGAGTATATATCAACTGAATGTCATAGCGTACCGATGAAACCTGCTTCGAGTTATCTGCCCTTGTTATGCACAAACAAATATCTTTTTGCTAACAATTTTTTAAACTACCAATAGACGAGATTCCCAGATTGGCGGAGTTTCATAGAAATGCAATCCGACGAACGTTTACATGGATATAAAAAGTTGGGGTTTCTCATGTGAAATGACACGCCTCCAGCTCGCTCATTATGTACAGAAAATACAAGACCTTGTCCCATTTCTTGATCTGACCTCTTTCTCTGTTGACAAAAAGTGACTCTGTCGCTATCTTTAGGTCAGTATGTAAATATACAACGTGCTTTCAAAACAAACAGATCGAGAACACTGTGGTTGTGTTTATCATGTCTATGTTTTATATAAAAAAAATAAATCGTAATCTTTATCCATTAAAGATAATTACCACCCAACCATCGTTAGCGTTAGTTAACCCAGGGGCCGTTCCGGGTGCGGGGCCGGTTTGGGTTAAATATCCAGGGGCCGGTTCGGCTTAGGGCCGGTTCGGGTGTATCCCGTAATATATAGTCACACCTCATTGAGAGAAGCCATGAAGATTCCGGTCCATGTCCATGCTTGTCGTAAGAGGCGACTAACGGGATCGGGTGGTCAGGCTCGCTGACTTGGTTGACACATGTCATCGGTTCCCATGGCGATAGTCACCTCTCGTAACATTCTATAAACAATTTAGTAGTGGTGTGACGATTCATCGATACATCGATCTCTGGGCCGCCGATAGGTTTTACATTGTCGTATATCCCGATACGATACTTCAAATGGGCCACGATACATCGATGTTTTACTCTGAATATTGCCGAATCGCGATATCTGTCAAGAAAGATTACTTTTGTTTGATGATTAAAATATATGCATACTTATTTTCCCTTCATAAGTTTCTCGGAAATTTTTGCGTCAGGAACTGTGTCAAACATATCGCTCGCAGTTTATTAACATTCACAAAGTCCGTGTATAAACTTAATTATCTCATTTCCGAATGAACATTGAAAAACGCTGACGGAATTTGACGAAATACTTTAAAATGTTTTTGTTTTGATCTTAAGGTGTTTCATAGTTGGTGTTAAAGTTAAAGAATTTAGTATCGTCATACGTATCGTATCGCCACCCTCATATCGGGATACGTATCGTATCGCAGCTTCAGTGCACAATAGTTTGGCAATATATCGTCAAGACTAAAATTTTAGTATCGTGATGTATCGTATCGCAGCACTAAAATTTAGACGATGTACGGCGGTTGTGTAAGCGTATTATAACGTACCCCAATGGTGTCCAAAGAAACCTCATATATACTACCCATCAAAAGTTTAGACCCACCTAAAGCATTCACTATATGCAACATTATGCAGATGAACTGTACGAGGATCATGCATCAAATGGCTAAAATAAGTGTGTGCAAATATCGTGAACATTTCTAGAAGTCGACATTTGAACCATAATCTACGCAATTATTTCAAAGTGAAGTATTTGAATGTGTTCCTGTCTGAAATGTGTTCCATTAACATATACACATGAAATGTAACATACATAAGTGCCTTTGTGGCACAGTTCTGAAACCATGAATTCTCACACAAATACTGCGTATTTCCCTTCAACAGTCAGAAGAAATTAAGACTGACTGACTGACTGAGTTTGATTTTACGCCGCTTTTAGCAATGTTCCAGCATCATCACGGCGGGTAACACCAGAAATGGGCTTCACACATTGTACCCATGTGGGGATTCGAACCCGGGTCTTCGGCGTGACGAGCCAACGCTTTAACCACGACGCTACCCCACCGCACCAGAAGAAATTAAAATGAAGTAAAAGCGACGTAAATCGTTTCAAGCAACCTTTATTTTCAAAACGGTAAATTTGTAACGTACATTTCTCAAATTCATGTTTTATATGGCTTTATGAATACTGCAAACAAACAGTAAGGTTTGACTGCGAAAAAGCAAACACACTTTCACTTAATTGAAATTTGTAACTGCAAACAAATCTAACACTCTCTGCTTCTCAGCAGTATCCATTTTCAGTATTCTTTGAGATTTGCTGATTGGAACAGGTTCACCTATCTTACACAGATATGAGAAGCTGGAAATGCGCCCTTTTATTGAGAATGAGTGTAACACAGAATTTTAAGCTAATAACTAGCAATCTGTATTCATGGAACTTTGTTCGATTTCCTGTAAGAGTAAATAGACAAAATCTCCCCGATAGGCAGGTAACTGTTGTAGCAATGGCATACTAGTATTTAGGCCTGACACACATATTTGAATAATTAAGTAATTGATTTACTTTATTACTACACTCCATTGAAACCATGAAATAATGCCTGTTAAAGCGCTATGTAGGGGTTCGTCCAGATCAAACACATACATTTTATAGAATTACAAATTTCCAAAATTGATCATCTTGACCAACATGCTTGTAACTGTTTTATGTGTGTAAATTTACGTTAGACGGGTCATGGTGACGGGGCAGAATGGACATTAACTTTATGGCCCACAATCAGTTGAAGCAGCAAGAATGTGGACATAGACACAACAGATGTCGACAATATTGGATGTAGGTGATAGTGGACGTGGACAATAACGAAATGAACAGTTCATGTAAACCGAATTGAAAGAAGACAAAAGTTCACGTTGACAATAATGAATAATGACAATAGTTCATGCTGACAATAACGAAATGAAGACAACAGTTCATGTAAACAATATGCGGTGGATAAAATCATACGTGAACAAAAACAACAACCAATTTTCTCACACATATTATAAAGAGAAACAAATTTATTTCCCTGTTGCAAAAGCTATGACAATCAGACATATTGGCTGTTTGTATATATCATGCAGATTACAAAAACTGTCACTATCATAAAGCATGTATGGATCTGAAACAAACTGATACGTGTTCTGTGTCACGTTCTATTAAAAGTCACGACATTCGCGGTTGAACACTGGGGCGGAAAGCAAAGCAAAACAATCTTATTCTCACACGGTGCCCCTTTTACTTCCTTGTGCTAGAATTTGCAATGAATACCTGGTTGAAAGTGAAATATCATCTCTTTGTACGTTCGTCTCCTATGTTTGTTGAACCGTTTTACATGATACATGTTGGATAAGCAGGGGACGTAATTCACACGTATCTGAGAGTAGTCTCCCTTTAATATGTCGTTCAAAGGATTTACCGATTTTTTATGAAATGACCATACCTTGGCAAAATTTCTTTAATGTTCTAGAACTGTCAAACATCGAAAGATGCATTCAGTAATCAGTGAACATTGTTGACATATACTGCCTGACCAATTTACATCTGGGAATAATCACGAAGTAAAGGTGTACGAATTAACCTGTTATATTCACAACATTCTAGAAGCATTCACGTATAACTTTCAGTCCAGGGATTGATCAACAAGGCGGTCATAGCGCTCGGACAGTCGTAACTTCCATACTTTAACATCAGTAATGACCAGATCGCTTTGTGGGACGGGACCTGGTCTGCTGTAGTTTCAATCAGTTTGAGTCGTGGGCAGCCACTGTGCGGTAAAACGGGGATTATATAATGGTTGGATTTTTCAGCTGAAGAGGTCCCGTCTATACCCTCTTCATCTTGTAGGTCATGGAGACATCATCCTTGCTCGATATCTGCAGCAAAAAGTGGATGACTATGCTATTTGTGGTGGCCGGTGTATTCTCAATCTAGAATATTAGTCAGTATAACTGGATATCCCTTGAAACCATCACGGTGACTACCATGTCCCTGTCTCCATATGCGGACAGTCCTTATTAATCATTAAGAGGCGGTGGGGTATCCTAGTGGTTAAAGCGTTGGCTCGTAACGCCGAAGACCCGGGTTCGATTCCCTACATGGGTACAATGTGTGAAGCCCATTTCTGGTGTCACCCGCCGTGATATTACTGGAATAATGCTAAAAGCGGCGTAAAACCAAACTCAGTCAGTCTTTCTACATACCGGATAGTCCCACTACTGACTATGAAATCTCCTAGGAGATATCGCTTTGACAGTAGATTTTGTACAATTCCCTGACAATACTGTGACGTTATGAACTTGATGACGACACAATGCTATGACATCGCTTCACTGCAAGCCTAATGGCAGTACTGTGTTCAGAGATGTACATTTTTCTTTGAAAACCAATGAAGGGTGATTTTGGATGATAAATAGAATCTCACCCTCGTGTCTTCTGATATCAAATATATCAACACTCGTTGATAAAAATTAAAATATCCTTTGCAAGCCTCGGATATTTGTAACTTTATCAACTCGTGTTCATATAATTGATATCAGAAGCCACTTTGGTGAGATTCTCTATATATACCTCTCTGGATATCTGGGGGCGGTGGTCTAGCCTGGTGGTTAAAGCGTTATATAGCTCGTAACGCCGAAGACCCGGGCTCGATTCCCCACATGGGTACAATGTGTGAATCCCACTTCTGATGTCCCCTGCCATGATATTGCTGGAATATTGCTAAAAGTGGGGTAAACTAAACTCACTCACTCTCTGGATACCTGTATAGTCCCCACTTACCGCAACCTGCATGTCCCCCTCTATATACCGTTCCACAGTCCATTCCATTGTGGTTCCTTTCGAGACTGATTTGTGCTTCTCGTGAAGTCTGTCACCCTTCCTCGTGTACTCGGTCTGTGAAACAGAATAACATAAGGTCATTTCTATTCGTAGGAGTGTTTATTTGTTGTTTAACAGAACATCGCCAAAATTTCAGCTTTATTATTGAGGTTGGTTGGTTGGCTTATTGTTTAAAGCCGCACTCAGCAATATTCCAGCTATATGGCGGCAGTCTGTAAACAATCGAGTCGAATACTAATTAATATTTATGTATCCAGTTGAATGAATTGGTCTCAGAATTCTGGACTGGTTATTGTACTAAGTTGCGCAATAGGACGGAACCCAGTCAACAGGAAACGAGACTGTTGTGTAATCAATGTTTTGACTTGCAGCCATATTCCAGATACACAGTCTAGCTATATGGTCTGTAAATAATTGAGTGTAGGACAGACAATCCAGTGATCAACAGCATGAGCATCGAACTATGCAATTGGGATACGATGACATGTGTTTACCAAGTCAGCGAGTCTCACCACCTGATCCCGTTAGTCGCCTCTTACTACAAGCACGGGTGGATGGAGACCAAATCTTATCCGGATCTTCACGTGTTCAACTCCATTATAAAGACACCTCACCGTCATTTCCGAACCATCTAATTCTTTATAGTCCAATGGTTCTCCGTCTGTGAAGCAGAGTTCTTGTTTCATTGGTTGATCTTTGTATTCTACGAGCACGTGTAATTTATTTTCCTCCAACTTCAACGTCGTAATCATTACAAGACTCTTTATCAAGTCCATTTGCTCCTTTGGCACCCCTGAAAGAAATTTAGTTTGGGTATTTTAATTTGAGGCGGGACAATGCCATTTCACATACCAAACGCCTCAACCCATCTTCGCCGCATTAGTGGACCCGCATCTGCTACTTTATACACTAAGCTAGTTCACGATGTTTGTGACCTGGAAGTCAAAAACAATCAAAACACCTGCGTCAAAATATTTACCTAATTCTTATTTAAAAAAAGAAATTCTGAACACCCCAAATGCAACGAACTTGTACTTTCTTTTATATGTCAGTATATTTAGTAAGTGAGTGAGTGGGTTTAGTTTTACGCCGCTTTTAGCAAGATATGATGGGAGACACCAGAAACAGGCATCACACATTGTAACCATGTGGGGAATCGAACCCGGGTCTTCGACGTGACGAGCGAACGCCTTAACCACCAGGCTACCCAACCGCCCCATAGTTGGTTAGTTGCTCTTGTCTGCCAAAGAGGCCATATTAGTTTCATTAACTCTATAGTGTTTCTCATAGTTTAATCAATATTTGAAACCCATCAGATACATGTTTGTATTCTGAAAGAAAGGATGACGAAAATTTTGCATATGGTGGGGCGGTGGGGTAGCCTAGTGGTTAAAGCATTCGCTAGTCACGCAGAAGACCTGGGTTCGATTCCCCACATGGGTACAATGTGTGAAGCCCATTTCTGGTGTCCCCTGTCGTGATATTGCTGGAATATTGCTAAAAGCGGCGTAAAACCATACTCACTCACGCACTTATATATGGTGATATCATCGTAACCATGACACCGAGAGCCATGACAACGCAAAACTCAATTATTAAATAACTTGCAAGGTGGTAGCAAGAGTGTAATTCTAAAGAACCGGTGTACAACCTTCAACTGAGGATCCTTTTGTAGTAGAAAAAGATATAATCTTTCGTTCCAGATGGAGGCCCGCCTCAACGCCAAATATATGTATCAGGGAACGAATCTTTGGCTATGTGCCATGTCTACTTGTCTACTCGTGGTGAACGAACGGTCGGCCGTTCGATCAGAAGACGAGTCATACCAGAAAACAAGCGCTGGTCGGCTCGGGATCAGTATACTGTATTCTTGTCAAATATATCTATACTGACGTACAAAAGAAAGTACACACTTGATGTTTTGGGTTTATTGTAAAACGGCCAAAATAGTAAATCACAATGAAAGCTGTTTGAAAAATATCAACGTTGGGTTATTTTTGTTTTCCATTTTTGTTTGGTCGGGTAGGTTGTTCTTTTTTTTTCAATTGGGGGCTGGCGGGGAGGAGAGATAACCTCACAGTACGACGGGCATATACTTTTTTATTTTTGCGGTATTGTATCTGCAGTGCACTTGCACGCGCTTCACGTGTCGATATATAAGAACAATCATCGCGATATCCTGCTATACCAAGTACCTTCCCCGACCGCGTCATACCAAAAGACGTTAAAATATGGTACTTGTTGGTCCCTGCCTGGCGCTCGGCATTAATGGGTACAAGGACTGGTCGGCTCGGAGTCAGTATAATGTGTCTGAGTGGGGTATTCATGCTTCACTGCGGCATGGTATCTCAGTGGGCTAGCACTATAAAACCAGCTTCAGTCTGGGCTAGTACAAGCAGCCTCACATACAAATACACACGCATGCACGTCGTAATATGAACGAAATATTCTCAAGCACGACGTTAAACCAGATTTCACCTCACCTCACCAAGTACCTTCAGATGAAAAACATCCTCGCGTAAGTTACCCTTTGTACTTCATGAAATATACTTTGACACATGTTGTTTATTACCATTTTCCACCAACTTGGACAAAAAATCTAAACTTTAGTCCAATATGTATCGTGAGAATGCGAACGAGACAGGTTCCCTGGGAAGGCTACTGGTTACCTGTAATGCGCAGGCGCAGACTATCCAGGTAACCAGGCTGAGTACTCGTTGTGAGTGAGCTATCCCGCACGTAATCTCGAGACCCAGGGGGCATTGCGAAACAGCAATGACAAACACGTACGTTCTACTTTCCCAGTCTCTTATGTCAACCTTATCGACTCGGTGTCGGTTGCAGTCTATAGGTAAATATCATCGAGACAGATCGTGAACGATGTATGCAAATTTTCCACTTGTATTGACTCTCAGTTGGGGATATATAACATAATATGATGATATTCTTTATCTTTGTGTACGCAAGGGCCTTATATGTTCACAGTGGTGAACTTTCTCATGGGTGAGCGCCTCGGCTATGTAAATCTATACAGATACAGTGCACTCTGTCTAATTCGGACCGGCTTGGGACCGACTAAAAAGTCCGAATTAGACAGCAGTTCTAGGTACACAGATTTTAATGCAGTTATCAACCTTTGACGAACATACTGACTGTATGACTGAGTTTAGTTTTACGCCGCTTTTAGCAATATTCGAGCAATATCATGGCGGGGGACACCAGAAATGGGCTTAACACATTGTGCCATGTGGGGAATCGAACCCGGGTCTTCGGCATGACAAGCGAACGCTTTAACCACTATGCTACCCCACCGCCCTGACGAACACACGATTGTGCATGAAACACATATTACATAAAATGGATTAAAAACACTTTGACGAAAGGATGTTGAAAATCATGGAGTTGAACTCAAACGTTGAACTCAAGATCTACGTGTCGACTTCGATGTAGACATCAGAATAGAACGGCTATACATCTAAGAGTAGATGTGACAAATATCAATAAAGCTATATATTTTCAACCTTGTTCGTGAATTAGACGAGAACTGAGCTTTTCGCATGTATTCGATTTTGACATCGACAGAATGGTTTGTTTAATACTGATGACAGTTGAATGACATATACTTCCCACTTAATGCAGGTGCGATGCACGAGAGATTCCGTGATTGAACTGACAATGGTTCATTGTTCGGGTATTTAAGAACCCGATTACTAGAGGATGAAGAAGTACATCGTAAATATAGAAGACGTGCTTGAGTCACTCGTTTAGCAAACGAACCAGGGTTGACAAGCGGACAAAAGAGAATAACAATGCAGGGCTTCATTCCACCGAGGGACATAGTGCTTACGTGATCGTAACTCCCACTTTTAACATTAGGTTACGGTAGTCGTAGGGCTACGATCGCTTTGTGATACGGGACCCAGTGTCTTTTTCAGTGTTACGAGTGGGGTAGTTAAAAGCCAATTTGAGCATTGATTTAGTTCCATCACATTCGTAACTACTCGTCCCTTTCCGTAACTCTTCTTTCAGGTTACGGAAGGGGACGAGTAGTTACGAATGAGTTCCGTCACGGCGGGTAGATATGGCGTCAGCGTTCGAAATTAACGTCGGTCCTTAGGCCCGAAGCTGACTATAAACCATTCGGACCCACAGCTTTTGCTTTCTGCAGGTCAATATGGCCGACAGCTTTTTCATCCCCAATAACTGAGAGTTATGTTTCCATGTTAAAATATAGGGCCTAATCATTCTGATCAGGACACACAATTGCAACTTGTTATGGTTCGGGGTCCTTAGAATTTGCAGCTTTCAGGATTAAGGGCAAACACTGTATGGCGTGGGGAAAAGTGATTTTATCTCTTTAGTGAACACAAAATAAACAGCAACGCTAAAGGAAAACGGACTAGCCGACGAACCCCACACAATTAAAGATACCAGAATAGTCTTATAAAGGGTAAAAGAGCTATTGAACAACGAATGGAAGCATGATGCTGACAATTCTAGACACATAATTGGCGCTATCTGAAATTCGAATCCATGACCATTGGTTTCTGGCACACCAAAGAGAGACAACTCTGTCTTGTGAAATCAGGCGCATAAGCCGCCTGAGCCTAGCCTAATGATGCAAAGAATGAGCATTGCACTTCCCTCAGCATTCTAAAGCGAAAACGTATATTCATTGTCACGTGGTTAGGGGACGGTATTGCCGTTTCACGACATGTATCCATCAGCTTCTTCATCGCTACACTGATGAATAAACACTCGCTCGCTCGCTCGCTCACTCTCACTCACTCACTCACTCACTCACTCACTCACCCACCAACTCACTCACTCACTCACTCATAGTTACCCAAAGCAAGAATAACATTATTTTGCAATCACCATTAGACACATTTACATTGCTGACTTTCATATTGCTTATGATGGCATTACATCACAAAACAGAAAAGCTGTCGTTCTTCTAAATACTGATATGGATAAAAATATGCATTTCACATAAAACATGAACGAGTTTGAAAATTTAATTAAAATCATTACTGAGATGATCACAGAAATCTCTGATTCTTACCCAGTTTCTCTGAAAATGCGTCCATATTCTCATACGATTCTGGCACCAATTCCCATTTTCCATTAAACTTCTCCATTTCGATTCCCAAAGATGATAACCACCTATGTTCTCAATGCTTGGAATACGTGTGTGCCAGGTAATGCTTTATATATACATGTATTGCCCTCTAGTACATGGTGATTACATACACCGTTGCTAGGTTAACACAATACTGTGTGCCAACATGTAGCTGGTATACAAACTGGGTCAAGCGTTAATCATTTGTCCTGCAGTATATCTGAACCTTATGACTTTGCCTCTGCATGATTCACGGGTGTTTAGGTTAATGCTATCAGGATAAATCGTAATTCATGTTACGTCTGACTGCGTCTATATTGTTCGCAATGCCCCAGCTCCATGTTGGTTGCCAGTTCGTTAAAAACTCGTGTTGTTCCGAGACAAGCCGAAAGGCGACTCGTGACCTTCGTGCAATTTCGGAGCAAACCGAGTACGTTTGCGGTCAGGGGCGAGTGGTGACGATTGACCCAACACTGGATCCTGACACTTTTGTGTGCAACGACAATTACCCGTCCAAACACGATCGGCTATTTGTTGTAACGGAAAGGGCGGGGTTGGCCGAAACCCTTCGGTAGGGGTGCAGACAATCACCCATGTCACTGCGTCTGGACCAATGAAGATCCGGGTTAGAATTAGTCTCCAGCAACCCATGCTTGTCGTAAGAAGCGACTGATAGGATCGGGAGATCCGGTTAGCTGACTTGGTTGACATATCATCGGTTCCCAATTGCGCAGATCGATGTTCATGCTGTTGATCACTGGATTGTCTGGTCCAGACTCGATTATTTACAGACCGTTGCCATATAGCTGGAATATTGCGGCGTAAAACTAAACTCACTCACTCACTCACACAAGAGACGCATTTGTGAGAACTAGGGTATTGCGACATCGGGTTACAATCAACTTAAAACTGACACAGTTGCTTTTTCTGCTACGTCTATGACTCTAAGTCACAGTGACCCTCGAGGTTGTGAAAGAACTCCGTAAAATCTTTTATCGTCATTTCGAGAAATTTTGGCGTTGTCACTTTTGAAGAAATACGGATTCGAACCCCAAGCAGCAGGCCCTGGTATTGTTATATGTAGCTAGGAAACCAGTAGACCACTGAGTAAGGCTCAGTACACATATTAATAATATATCAACTGAATGTCACTGTGTACCGACACCTGCTTCGAGTTATCTGCCCTTGCTATATGCTATCAGGTGTGCACACAAAAAATTCTTTCGCCAACAATTTTTTAAACTACCAATAGATGAGATTCCCAGATTGGCAATGCATCATAGAAATGTAAACCGACGAACATTTACACAGATATAAAAAGTAAGGGTTTCTCATGTGAAATGACATGCCTCCACCTCGTTCATTATGTACAGACAATACAAGGCCTTGTCCCATTTCTTGATCGAGTTTACTGATCCGCTATCTCTCCTCAGTCACTAGAACACTTGTGTATGGGGAGATGTCAAAAAGTGACTCTGTCGCTATCGTTAGTCAGTATGTAAATATACAACGTGCTTTCAAAACAAACAGATCCAGAACACAGCGGTTGCGTAATATACACTCATACCTCATTGAGACAGTCTGTCAGTCTGTCCCAGCCATGAAGATTCGGGCCCATGCCCATGCTTGTCGTAAGAGGAGACTAAAGCTCGCTGACGTGGTGCATGCCATCGGTCCCATATTCACCTCCCGTGACATTCTATAAACGGTTTAGACAATATATGGTGGTTGTATAAGTGTATTATAACGTACACTAATGGCGTCTAAAGAACCCCCAGATATAATCACTTGACACCATCCTTGATGAAATACACTGACGCCAAAAAGAAAGTATACACTCACGTGTAATGGCGGCAATGTGTGGAACAAATTGTTAATTAAGCGACGGTGATGTATTTGATAGTTACCTTAAGTATATGGTGTTATATATATAGTTATATACATGTGTAGTATATAGTGACGGCTGTTTTCGCACTATTAATGTCTTAATAACATTTTTAATAGTTTTGTTAACTCCAGTTTCCATCTCTATACATGTACTTTATTTTGCCCCTTAGTCTATGCCTCCATTCTATAAATACTAGTGACCCACTCGTACCCGTAGCGTCGCCACCTCTATCCGTCCAATCACAAATTGAATATTAATTTCTCGCGCTAATGACAGTCATTTGACTTGGCAGCTAAGTTCAGCGCCGTGCGATTCGAATAGAGATAACACCAGGCTACAGCGGCAAACTGGGACACGGTATTTCTCAGTATGAACAGAATGAAGCTATAAATCCCCGGATAAACGAGGATGGTTTGATACAGACTCACGAAGTGGGAAAAGCGTTAATAATGAGTTTATTCATGCAGGGTAACAGGCTATAAAACTATGTGATATCATTGCCATATAAGCGCGGATCATCTTCGTTCAAAGTTTCTTCAGCTTGATCTTCATGGAAACGCCATCTTTTGTCTGCACCTGTCAAGACGTACACATTGATGTGAGAAAATGAAAAACATTTGTATTCGCAAATTTTCTTTCACCAAGTAACCATAGAGAGAATTACTTGAATAAGTAATTAAACCTTTGTTACTAGAGTGAGTGAGAGCGTAAATATTGCTTAACGCCGGATCAGCAATTTTGCAGGTATTCGCATAATGTCAATGTTTTTGTTCACTTTGGTTCGTGCGGAGTTGAACTGGAGGTACATGAAATATGTTTTCTGAAAATGAGAATAATCAACATGCTTACATGTAATAAAGAGAAATGATAACATTCCTGCTCATCTTAGCATGACACAAAACGGCCTCTGGGAAGTAAGTGCAGAGAACGTCTTGCTTAAAGATGAATATACCTAGTATTACATCGTTACTTCATAATTTGGACATATCTTTATTGCTTTCACTTCACACGCACACGCACTCGCAATCGCCCATGCAGCTACTTACCCCAACCATGAAGCCCCCCTCGATGTATCTCTCTGTGGTCCATTCTCGCGTAGTTCCCTCTCTCTCCATCTTATTAGTCTCAAAGAAGCGACCGTCCTTCATGGTTATACAGCTCTGTGAAGAACAGTGGCAGAAGTAGACGGTCGTAGTAGTAGCAGTTGCAGTAGTAGTAGTAGTAATAGCGGTAGTAGAAGTAGTAGTAGAAGCAGTAGCAGTAGAAGTAGATGTAGTAGTAGTAGTAGTAGTAGTACATGTAGTAGCAGCAGCAGTAGTAGTAGTAGCAGCAGTATTAGTAGAAGTAGTAGTAGCAGCAGCAGTAGCAGTGGTAGTAGTAGTTGTAGCAGTAGCAGTAGCAGCAGCAGTAGTAATAATAGTAGTAGTATCAGCAGCAGCAGTAGTAATAGTAGTAGAAGTAGTAGTAGTAGCAACAGCAGTAGTAGTAGCAGTAGAAGTAGCAGTATTAGTAGTAGTAGTACATGTAGTAGCAGCAGCAGTAGTAGTAGTAGCAGCAGTATTAGTAGAAGTAGTAGTAGCAGCAGCAGTAGCAGTGGTAGTAGTAGTAGTAGTTGTAGTAGTAGCAGCAGTGGTAGTAGTTGTAGTAGAGGCGAGTGAGTGAGTAAGTTAAAATTTAATATTTCAGCCATATCTTGACAAAATCAAGTTATAGAGTAATATATATTAAAGATAAATTAGAAAAACCTGTCAACGAAGGACAGTAAAACAACAAGATTATCACAGGTAGAAATTTAAAACTAGTAACCAAATCTAAACAATTTAACTATACACGACAATACAATATAAAACCAGGCTATAGATTGCCAACAATTGAAGGTAGATCACCATACTAGGGACCATGGGGACTTACAGTACCTTTGCTTTCTGCATGGGCCCTAGCTGGATTTACATCATCCCTTCAGCTGTTAGCTATTTAGATGTAACTAGCCATACATTAAAAATAATCATATGCTACGGTTATAAATGTGGAGAGTTTAAATTTACTTTGAATGTTTCGGGACTTACGTACCCTCTCAGGAGGACAATAATTTGCAATACTTTAACCCCCTTTGAGTGTACAGCCACTAACAATCTCAGTTACAAAATCTAAACTACCAATAATAAAATATTTATCTATTTACAAACCGTCCAATAAAATGTATCTAATAATTCTATTTCTTTTAAGAATTCAATAATTAAATGATAGTTAACATTAAAGAGATCCTTCACTGTTTTGACATAGAAATATTTATCCCTTGTGATGGAAATTGTTATACAGTCAAGTGTTGTAGTAGCAGTGGTAGTAGTAGTAGTAGTAGTAGTAGTAGTAGTAGTAGTAGTAGTAGTAGTAGTAGTAGTAGCAGTGGTAGTAGTAGTGAGTGAGTTTAGTTTTACGCGGCACCCATCAATATTCCAGCTATATGGCGGCGGTCTGTAAATAATCGAGTCTGGACCAGACAATCCAGTGATCAACATCATGAACATCGATCTGCGCAATTGGGAACCGATGACATGTGTCAACCCAGTCAGCGAGCCTGACCACCCTATCCGGTTAGTCGCCTTGTACGGCAAGCATAGTCGCCTTTTGAGGTAGTAGTAGTACTTGTAGTAGTTTCAGCAGTGGTTGTAGTAGTAGTAACAGTAGTAGTACAGTAAAGGTTTATTACGAACTGACAGATATAACGAACTCTACTATACTATACGCACTATAAAGGGTATAACGAACTCTACTGTACTATACGCACTATAAAGGGTATAACGAACTCTACTGTACTATACGCCCTATAAAGGGTATAACGAACTCTACTGTACTATACGCACTAAAAGGGTATAACGGTATAACGACTGTACTATACGCACTATAAAGGGTATAACGAACTCTACTGTACTATACGCCCTATAAAGGGTATAACGAACTCTACTGTACTATACGCCCTATAAAGGGTATAACGAACTCTACTGTACTATACGCCCTATAAAGGGTATAACGAACTCTACTGTACTATACGCCCTATAAAGGGTATAACGAACTCTACTGTACTATACGCCCTATAAAGGGTATAACGAACTCTACTGTACTATACGCCCTATAAAGGGTATAACGAACTCTACTGGTATAACGAACTCTACTGTACTATACGCCCTATAAAGGGTATAACGAACTCTACTGTACTATACGCCCTATAAAGGGTATAACGAACTCTACTGTACTATACGCCCTATAAAGGGTATAACGAACTCTACTGTACTATACGCCCTATAAAGGGTATAACGAACTCTACTGTACTATACGCCCTATAAAGGGTATAACGAACTCTACTGTACTATACGCCCTATAAAGGGTATAACGAACTCTACTGTACTATACGCCCTATAAAGGGTATAACGAACTCTACTGTACTATACGCCCTATAAAGGGTATAACGAAAACTACTGTACTATACGCCCTATAAAGGGTATAACGAACTCTACTGTACTATACGCCCTATAAAGGGTATAACGCTGTACTATACGCCCTATAAAGGGTATAACGAACTCTACTGTACTATACGCCCTATAAAGGGTATAACGAACTCTACTGTACTATACGCCCTATAAAGGGTATAACGAACTCTACTGTACTATACGCACTATAAAGGGTATGTATGTATGTGCTTTTCGTTACTCACGCGATCCGTTCACGTTTCAGAACACAATATCGTCAGAAATTACGTTTAATGGTTATTACTAACTCGTGTAAGTGCAGAGCTAGTAGTTATTGCCGGACTTACTTCGCAAGGTTAGCCCATGTACAGTGAATGAGTGAGTTTAGTTTTAAGCCGCACTCAACCCATGTACAGATTTCGCATGTGTGTTTATGTCAGTTTCTGCCGCACTCGGCAACATTTCAGCTACATGGCAGCGGTTTGTAAATAATCAATCCAAACCAGACAATCCAGTGATCAACAGCATGAACATCGATCTAAAAATATAGGTAATTTTGATACGATGACATGTGTCAATCAAGTCAGCGAGCCTGACCACCCGATCCCGTCTGTCGCCTCTTACAACAAGTCTGGACCAAACAATCCAGTGATCCACATGAGCCCCGCCCTTCTCATCTTTGACGCGATGGCATGCGTCAACCAAGTCAGCGAGCCTGACCACCCGCTTGTCTTGGATAATTAAATCTTGTTGTGAAATTTGGTCATTCAGCTCCATGCTCGACATTATTACAGTTACATGGCGGCGGTCTGTAATTTATCGAGTCTGAGCCAGACAATTCAATGATTGACATCATGAGCATCGATCAATGCAATTTAGATAATATCACAGGCATCAGCGAGCCTCATCCGATGAGCATCGATCTAACCAGTGGGGACACAATGACATGTGTCAAACAAGTCAGCGAGTCTGACCACGATCCTGATAGTCGCCCCTCAGGACATGCACGGGGAGCTGAAGACCTACCGTAACCCGTATTTTCACGGGTCCAGATTTCATATTGTAATGGAAAGCGTTCTATTACTTACCGTCATATTGGCGCCATCAAAGCTTTTGTAAGACACGGGGACACCGAGTTCGAACCTGACGTCTTGTTTAAACCCTTTCGTCTCCATACCACCAACCAATGTTTTGCCGTCCATGGAAAATGTGTACACTGCGTCCATATTTTTATATATCTCTCTCCTCGCGGGCTCTACCCCTGAAAGTGTAAGAGTGAGTGAGTTAATATGGTTTTATGCCGCTTTTGGCAATATTGAAGGCAGGGGTCACCCAGAATGGACTTCTGACATCGGAGAAAGAAAGAGAACGATTTAACTACAAAGCTTCTCCACCGCTGATTGAACATCTAACATCCTAGAGTTTCTGGGGTGTTTTAGTGAGTGAATGAGCGAGTTTAGTTTTACGCCGCTTTTAGTGATATTCCACCAACATCACGGCGGGGGACACCAGAAATTGGCTTCACACATTGTACCCAAGTGGGGAATCGAACTCGGGGGTCACCTTTAAATCACATTTACAATTAGTCAGTTTATTTTGATATGTGTTGAATATATACCGACAAACGATTTGGTTATGTGTTTAACATACGGCAACATGGTAAATATACTTTCTGCAAATTTAAGGATGGAGTGCGGCAATGCGCAGCCCTTGCACCATCACGCTTCAAAAACTTAGCGTCAACCTAAGGAAACATTGACAAAACACAATAAAAATTCGTACCCATCTTGTCCGCGAATGCATCAAAGTTTTCTGTCAACTTTGGCTGCGTTTGCCATTTTCCGATAAACTTCTCCATGATGATGTCTGTCCGACTGGTACGTGTAGACTGAGACGCTGATACCTGTGATGGGCTCTATATATGTATGTACCAACTAACTGGTGACTCAGATATGTAAACAGTTAGCCTTTTAAGCTAGGGTCGCGGGGTTAAAAACTGAGCTATCTAACGGTTAGATGCGTGTTGTATTACCTCATTATGACTTAGAAACGGTGGTGATCATATAAGGTCAACAGTATTTCATAATTGCAGTGTCATACCCGCCCGTCTGGTTTGGTGAGGGTGTTTGGTTCAGCGCCAATATTCCCGCAATATCATGGCGAGGGACACCAGAAATTGGCTTCACACATTGTACCCATGTGGAGAATCGAACCCGGGCTTTCGGCGTGACGAGCGAACGCTTTAACCACTAGGCTACCCCACCGCCCTCGTCTGATTAAGACAATATTACAGTTGTCCGTTTCAAAATAGGTGAATATTGTTTAATGCAATAGTCAGGAATATTCTCTCTACGCCATGGCGGTCGGTAAATAATCTGTGTCAGATGCACCCAGTCAAACCGAAACATGAGTCTCATTAACCTATTCCCCCGTATCCAAATAATACTGGTTAATATTTGTGTATCCAGTTGAATGAATTGGTCTTAAAATTCTGGACTGGTTATTGTACTAAGGTGCGCAACAGGACGGAACCCAGTCAGAAGGAAACGGGACTGTTGTGTAATAAATGTTTTGACTCAACTGACAGCATGAGCATCGATGTACACCGTATGGGTCACATTATCACCAAGGCCACTCACAGTGACACCCCGAACCTCAATGGTTGGCACCCACTGGTGCATTAGGTACCGGTAATTGTATGTATACTGTACATCATTTAAGATAATTACTTTAATTATGATGCGTTTCTGTATGTTTTTATTGCATCACAATGTGTTTTCTTTTTTAGAATTTTGTTGTTTTTTTGCCTTTGTCCATCTTGTAACTTTTGTTTTCATAATTCACTATTATATATCATGTACCACCGTTGGTGGGGTCTCTGAGTTAAATAAAGAACTTGGAAGAACTTGGTACCGTATTCTACCTTGGAATCCGCTGAAGGACAAATGTTATCGGGACCTCATTCTCTATTTTTAAAAATAATCAATATATTTTGCTGCATTAGTTTGGTGGGTTTTTTTTATCATGAGCATCTATCTACGCATCTACATAACGACATATGCATGCATTAAAAAAAATGCACGTTCCACCTTGACCTCCACTGGGGATCCAGGGGCTCGTTTCACAAAGCGATCGTAGCGCTACGACTGTCGTAAGTCTATGATAAAGTATGGGAGTTGCGATCACCTTAACGCTACGATCGCTGTGTGAAACGGGGCCTTGATCCCGTTTGTCGTCTCTAACGACAAGTGTAAGCTGCATTCGTGACCAACACGTGTACACCGGGACAAGCCAAATAGCGTCTTCCTCGAGGTTACCAAAAGTATCGTGTGATGGCGAATGGATAACCAAACACGGATCTTTACGGTTGGTTCCGATTGTAACATCACTGTAAAAATAGGCATCCAATAAACTTACGCTCATGAACTGTGCACCGTTCCACAAAACGATCGTAGCGCTAAGATGATCGAAACTCCCATACTTTAACATAGACTTACGACTGTCGTAGCGCTACGATCGCTTTGAAGAACGGGGCCCTGCAGTGCGCTATCTTAGCATAACCAGGGATAATCTACAATATATAGTCTCCCCTGGCATAACTGAGTCTGATAAATGATGTCACTTCATAGAAATATGGTGTAGAATGGATCCTGCGTATTCATCGTAATATGTAGATATAATGCCCCCTGATAATTGAGGATGTCATCTCCAATGGTTTTGAGGGGACTGCGAGCCTGGTGGTTAATGCGTTAGAGACGGTTCGATTGAATATGGTTTTACACCGCTTTTAGAAATATTCCAGCAAGACTAGGGCGGGGACACCAGAAAGGGGTGAGGACGGGGGAAGATGTTGGCATTATATCGAAAAGAGGTGTTTGAAAAAGTTTCAAAATAATATTTATTTGTGTTGTTGAAAAAAGCTGGAGTAAAGAATATGTTAGATAATAACTGGTCTTCGACAAATCACGTATGTCATAATTAAGAAGAGACTAATACGACGGTAAGGAAGCGCAGGAGAGGTAAAAAGGTGGCAGAGCCCTTCACATTACCATAAGAAATCTGAACCAGTGAAGATCCGGTTTAGAACTGGCCTTCAGCTACCCATGCATGCACGCCGAGAAGAGATCGGTTGGTCAGGGTCGCTGACTAGGTCGATGCTTGTCATTGTATCCAAAATGAACTGATCGATGCTCATGATGTCAATCACGGAACTGTCTGTTTCAGACACGATTATTTACAGGTCGCCGTCATATAGCTGGAATATTGCTGTGTAAGGCGATAAACGACAAACAAACAAGCAGTTATCCCATGTGCATGAACCTATCCGGGAACTGTTGTACAAAGCAAACTTTGCGTTATGACTATGGTAAATCGTTTCGTATATGTTACGGTGTGGGAGTTATGTCTTAAACAACACGGTTTTATTGTTCGATACAAGCGGAACGTCAATGAAAAGCCATATGATACCCGTGAAGATCCTGGTTAGAATTGGTAAACACATGTCATCGTATCCCTGTTTCGTAGATCGATGCTCATGCTGTTGATCACTGGATTGTCTGGTCCAGTCTCGATTATTTACAGACTGACGCCATATCGCTGGAATATTGCTGGGTGCGGTCTAAAAACTAAACTCACTCACTCGTACAATAAGGTTTTAACGTTCGATGCAAGTGGTATCATAGGCGGATCCAGAGGGATTGCAGGGTGCTCACCACCACCCCCACCCCACCCCCTTTGTGCTGAAAGTTTGTTAAATGACCATTGAAACTCGGGTAAAATTGAAGTGTGCACCCCTCCTTTTCTCAATAGTGTGCACTCCCCCTTTCTCAGAAAGCTGTATCCGCCCCTGGGTATATCGATGAAAAGCCAATATGAATTTACATGTGACAAAGACTCTTCACCATAGACAAGTTTCCTCTGGTCTTATCTGGGTGAGTCAAGAATGGGCACGATGGACTTCGTCCTGGTCTTCGGAGTGACGAGCGAACGTTTTATCACTCGTGATATATACTTTCCATGACACGAGGTATTGTTTATGAAGTGCAGGTATCACGTGACGCAGTGCATGCAGTGCATGTCATACAGTGAAGCACAATACGGCCATGAGTTGTTTAAATTAACGTTCTCAATGGCCTCAGACAACAATTATTTTCCTTATTTGCCATCTACAGTGACATGCCAGTCCACCATAATTAATATCGGTCGTAGGCTGTTATCCTGCTGCATGCTGACCAACCTGCCACTTGTCACTTCACCAGCAAAATATGGGCCTGGATCGACCATCTCAATTTTGCTGTATCCACTGTCGACAATGATCACCGGGGGTCTCGAGCCCGAAACACACTAAACAGCCTTGAACTTGGGGTCAAATCGTGGAAGGCTGGTGTCAATACCATGTGCAGATTGTGGACCCAAAAATATTTGAAATAAAGTACAATGTCTCACCTTTCATTTAAGCTACCACAAATCAACTTGAAAAATTATCACTGACAGAACAGCCCATTTAAACAAGGCACAATTTTCTCCTATTTCGCTTCCGGGTCACTGTTTGTCTTTAAGAAGTAAAAACGAAAAATGGAAATGATATACATTACGTACAGTGAATTAGTGTAAAAGAAAACACAAATACTAATTATTATAAGTATAAGAAAATGCATTGCTGATAATAAAACAACGTTTGTAATGTTTCCCTTTAGTGAGATTTTCATTTCTAAATGAGGCATTCCATACTGAGTGAGTAATAGTGATGGGAAGGTTATATCAAAAAGTGGGAATTTCTTTTCTTTTAGACGAGTTGATGCAAAGAATGGGGGCGGTTATGAGAAATATACTCTTACAGTGTAGGGAAACCTGAAGTTTCAATTTGGATAGGAAGTATAATTTCAGATCCAACAAAGCATTAAAATCTGTAAAATGAAATTGATATCAGTTTTGGAGGCACTGGAGACTGGAATTTACATCTGCTGTCTGTCAGCAAGATGATTCCCTTATTCCATGCTGCTGGTCATCTTTCCTATGCCAAATCTGCATGTCTGTATCTGGAAGAAATGAAAAACCTGAAGGGCATAATGTCGCCAGATAATTTCAAGGCCTACACAGAACAAGGGTACTTCACCATCCGTAAGAACTGACAAATTCTGGAGTGGCAACTTCACTGACCAAGTGATCGAGCAAGATCTGATGAGACTGCTAAATATCTCCGGCTCGTGGTCGTGGTATAACCAGGGATACTCTACCACAGGCCCCCTTAAATAGTCTCCCTGGTATAACTGATAGCACTCTCGCCAAATGGGTCCATGTAATGCCTAAGTGTATACCAATATGTGATGCTTCAGAGAGTTTCACAGCCAAACATCTGAGCAACATGTTGACCTCCATTTATGTAACTTAGTGAGAGACAACAAAGACTGTGAAACATTCTTCCAATGGCTTAAAGAAAACAATTCTCCTTTCTCATATGAAGAGCATGAGTCGCTCGTCTGCATAGCGAGTGGTGTTGTAGCTGGCAAATCGGTAAACGCAGACAAAGCAATTTCTATCGGAATGAAGGCAGCCTAAGCAGTGACAGGTCAGATGTTTGCTGACATAAAGTTGAAGCGCAAAGATAGGGTGATAAGAATCAGTGAGGAAAAGAATCAAATCAAAATCAGAGGAGAGCCAGTCCAAGTAAGCTCTGAGCTGCTATTCATGCGAGTCACCTGTGTGATAGAGGATAAGTCAGAGATGAAGTTGTACCTACTTCATGAATTTGCCAAGCAACCACCTGCCTTGTTTGACAAAGGCATGACGCGAAAGAATACGAAGAGTGTTCTGGCTAATTAAACGAAATCACAAGTCCAAGTCCACAATGACCATCCAAGGGGAGCGCATTATGTCATTGACGGTGGCCACCTGCTACAAAGTTTGCCTTGGCCCACGGATGCTACATACACCCATATATGTGGCAACTATGTGTCCTGTGTGCTTCAACGGTTCAGCATCTTCAGTGGTGTTTGATGGATATGGCAGTGCGTGTTCCACAAAATCTGCTGAACAGAGGCGACGGGCTCAGCCGAACATGTCATCTGAAATCATTTTTGAGCCAGACATGAAAGCAACTTCATCAAAACCTTTTCTGAGCAACAAGAAGAACAAAGGTCGCTTCCTAACATTATTGAAGGGAAGACTTGCCAGAGTAGGTTTAGAAGTGCAACAGAGTCCTGCTGATGCTGACTGGTTGATTGCTTTAACTGCAATGAACAAGGCCAGAGACAACCAATCACCTGTTGTTTTCGTGGGGAACGACACAGACCTGTTGGTAATATTGATTGCACAAGCCACAAATGACATGGATCTTCAAATGTTATTTGGAAGGGCCCCTGTGCAGATGTACAGCATTTCCGAAATGCAGAAAACCGTGCCCAATATCAGACAGCATCTGATGTTTGTTCATGCAATAACAGGCTGTGATACAGCATCAGCCATCTACAATCAGGGGAAAAAAGAAAGCTCTTGCTCTATTCCAGGAGAGGTCCAATTGGGATTGCTTGGATGTTTTCCTTCAATTTGGCAGTTCAAATGATGGGATTGCACAAGTTGGAGAGATGGTCACGCTTAGACTCTATGGAGCTGTGGACTCAACATCACTGGACGAACATAGCTACAACATGACTATTGTACTTCAAGTCCATTCATCGAGCCTCTGTGTCCTCTTCAGGTTTTAAACTGGAATCACTTTCCCCAACTCCAACAGTAGCTAAATTCCACAGCTACCGAGTGTAGCAATGGCAAGGGAATGAGTTATCACCAACAGAGTGGGGATGGCAATTCAAGGATGGGGTCCTTGTTCCTATTGAGACAGATAGAGCAATTGCTCCAGAGAAAGATGATATCTTGTGGATGCAAGTTTGAGTGCTGGGGACGGGGCAGTTGTCGAAGAGCAGACATTGAGTGCACATTACTTTGCACTGGGTCTTGAGGATTGCCAACCTGCCAAAATGTACTCAGTATTGAAGAATGAGATATTGTGATTGACAAAAAGACCTTATGATACATCAAACAAAGACTGAAGATTACAGTGAGTTTCAAAATTTACTAACTTATAATGACGATATTGATATTTGTACAAGTGATTTGCCATCAATGTGGTGACCACGGCTGTCTTGATTAACCAACCATGAGTAGCCATTTTGACGCCTGGTACCAAAAGCACAAGCATCAAATGTGTGGTTATCATGCCATAATTACTTGGCTTATGTGTGTGTGGTGTGGAAAGTATATTTAGATTCCTTGTGAGAAAAGCTTTCTATTAATATATCACAAGGTATGGTTAATTAAAAGGAATTGTTTTCGTGAGATTATTTTGATTATCTTAAGGACAATGGTGGCCATTTTGAAATTGGCGGTCATTTTGAAAATGCCACAAGGCATATGATATCAATATTTATTTAGAATCCCTGTGAGATGAGCTTTCATTTGGTAGATCACATGGCATAATTATTGACAAAATATCTGTTTGCATAATGATTTTAATGATTTTGGCGGCCATCTTGAAATCGGTGTCCATTTTGAAAATGCCACAATATCATGTCGAATGTTCTTAGCCTATTATGGCACTATAAAGGGCCATGTTTCCTCCGTCCGTCACTAGTACTTCATTTCCGGACATGGTTAGACATGACAAAGACTTTTGATATTAAATGGCATTTACTGTTGACGAGAATACCGTATTTGCGATGCGAGTACCGATCTCTATTAGAAGCAAGTCTCTAATAGACGGAGGTATGGTCATCGTGATGCTCTTGAAATCAGCTTCATCACCCAAATCATCTCACGTACGTCCTTCTCACTAAATTTCTTAATTTACTCAGGTGCCTCCAACATTGCCTTTTTAAGGCTTTTCTTGTGCGACGTTAAACAACAAACAAACAGGCATTCTGACTGACAGTGGGTTGAAACCTGCAGATGAAATGACCGCCACTCTTATTTTACGCACTCCAAATCAAAGACAAAGCAAAATGGCATTTACCATCGGTGAGACGGAAAGTAAAACCAAATACTTCACGAAACACCATGTATATTCCCGTAACCTTCGTATAATCATTCCGTTCATTTCCGTATTGACCCGGGCATGGCAAGAAATGGGTGACCTTTATATAGTTTTTTAGTGGTAAGCAAGGACGGTTAGGCAACGTTTTACCTCCCTTTGGTTGCGCGGCACGAAGCTCATGGACAGTGCTTGACAAGTTTTCTGCCTTCCAGCTCATCTCTGCAAAAGGGCTATCGCTGTTGGGAGCTTCATAAGACGCATGCGTCCCTGTCAATTTATTTCCGCCATTTATTCAGGTGCGTGTGTGAACGTCGTGTTTGGGGTTACCCAGTTTTATGTTAGAAGTAAACGGGAACACGTTGAGATAACATGCTCCCTCGATTATATTTCTAACAGTTTGACCACGTAACTGAGAAAAGCACGCGGTGTGTTAATATTAAACTGAGGCACTTTGAATTTCTGAAATCAGAACCACGTTCTTCTTTTGAATAGGCCTTTATCAGATTTCAATCTTTTTATCAACCAAGAAACTAGTTATGATTATAAACAGCGTGGTTGAAAATTTCATTCCAATTTCTATAAATGTTGTTTTGGTGGTCTACAATTAATATGACAAACTTGCTAAACCACGTAATCACTTCTTTATAAGAGGAAGCCATACAGCTGCAATATTGCTGAGTGCGGCGTAAAACTAAACTCACTCACGTATACGAGGAAATGCTCTTTCCTGGGTTTCAGCCTAATGACTATTAATCTAAGATATGTTGTATTTTGTTTATACTGCATGGTGCAGGTTTAGTTTGCACACTGTTAGGATGTAGTCATGGCACATGTGACTGTATACTGTGTTACGTTGTCATAGCCAATACTGCTAAACCTTCCTATTCAGTTAATATTATCATACCATTTCAATAATAATTATGTATATTATGATAAATTGCGATACCACCTAAACGTAAGCATGCTTGTTCTACTTAAAATGCTTGAGTATACATTAGAAATTGGATGGATAACTATGACAACCAGTCATATACTAGCCAAAATCTTCCCTGCAGAACATGTTTCCAAAGATTTTACTGGGAAAGACTTCCGCCCGTATCCCCATTTTAAATCTCATTCTAGTCAACCATATCACCTGAATATATATTCTTCATCTGATAAGGATTGAGTTTTAACATGTTTCTTTAATTGCATCTGTACATACTGAAAGACATATCAAACTTCTAAAAATGCCACTCAAACACATTTTTCCTCATCGTTAAAATTTAGGAGGAATGCAGGCGGAAGTCTTACAGTCAAGCTCACTGACTCTTCTGAGTTGAGTTGAGTTGGGCTTTACGTCACATCGGCATTATTCCAGCCATATAGTGACGAGAACAAGTCTGACTCTTTTGATGCATGTCATCAAGTGCCAAAAGCTCTGATTGACACTTATGATGTAAATCACTGGATTGTCAGTCCCTGACACGATTATATACTGACAGCCATTGTATATCTATAATGTTGCAGACAGTTAACAAACCGTACCAGGAAATAAGCTAAAGCTGTGGTATTTGATAATCCGAATGTTGAAATGCCAGAGTTGGTTCTGTCATTTATTAAAAAAGGCAGTCATTTCTCAGATGGTGTCTGTAATTGGTAATGTTGTGAAAATCATCTTGTACCAAGCCATTGGATTTATGCAAATGTGAATGCGCATTCATATTACACACAAAAACACATGATAAAACTTTTCAGACTTTAGTGCAGAACATATTTTTTAAACATTTGTTCTATGATTCATCAATCGATGAATATCAGAAAGTATGAAATATGAAATGCCAATTTTGGTTGGTGATAAACTTTGGTTGAGGTAGACATTTTCGTTTACATGTTATGTCTAAAGCTGAATTTATCCCTGGCTTGATGGGTAGGATGATGTTTAAAATTTCAACTTGAATTATTAATATAACTTCTTAATCTTTGGCTGTCCAATACATCAGTTAAAGTGTCAATTGCCTGGAGAAAGTAGTCCCAAGGTGTCAAAATTCCCTATGCAGAGTTTCATCCCTTGTATATGCCAAGGACCTTTGATCATGGGTTCAGACCCCATTTCGTGTTGATCTTGTTTCTAGGTTTATGACCACTATGGTAAATGGCAGACATGCATCATTTGGGGCGTGCCTCCCACACTTAACTGTCACACTGTTCTGGGATGGTTGTCACGCAGATGACCGGGTTCGATTCCCCACATGGATACAATGTGTGAAGCCCATTCCTGGTGTCCCCAGCCGTGATGTTGCTGGAATATTGCTAAAAGTAGCCTAAAACCATCATCACCCTCTCACTTGTATACTGTTCCAAGATGCATTGAAAACCCAACTCATCCATTCCTTACTACACCTATCAGTTCTCTGACATTATTGAGATCAGAGAAGTGAGCTGTTAAATATTTCGACATTTAATTTTGACATCATTATTAGATATTCTTAGACTCATTCAGATTTTAACCGTGGTATTTGACATATGATTTGTAGAATTAAGAAAAGTTTAATAAAGAGATATCAAGTATGTTACTTCTAGTTTCAACGTGTCCGAATTGGATAAAATCAGCTACTGATACGGTCAGTGGATAAATCAACACTTAACCATTGTGACATCAATATCGAATATGCTATCGAGACAGATGAAGCCAAACATGTCTGTTTATTTGATGTTATTGTGTTGCCATGGTGCTTTTGCTTATTTATTGTTTTATTATTTAATTATATTTGTGGTTACATGATTTATGCTCCTTTCACTGAATTTATTTGTATACCGTGGTATATATATGGTGTGTCTTCCGTGTTAACACCTTGCAGTGCATGCTCAGGTCGCTAAGTTCACATTTATTTATGCTATACATGTTTATTACATATATTTCATCACATTTATTATGAGTATCATTTATGTATTTTATTTACTAGATTTTATCAGCATCCTGTGAGAAAATTAATCTGAGAATATTTTTTTGCCGTTCCTAGGATATCTGAGGTAACTGTTTATATTATATATCTTATTCATGTTTAATTTATGATTTATTTATTTATCATGTTTAACTCTCCATGTTATGTTTATATGGGGTTCTCTACTAACAATTTTTTTTGTGATTGAAAGAACTATTATCATAAATATATGTCCTACATTATTACCAAGATTGAATTTATGTCTTTTTAACATTGATATGATTATTGTAAGAATTCTCTCTGGTTTCATTGTTTGTAAGTAGTAATGTTACAACACTAAATCATGCATTGTTAATATTGCTTAAATATGTTAATTGTAATGCAAATAACAGTGGCTTATGAATTTAATAATGCTTTGTGACCTATATTGCTTTATCATGACTTTGTCAAATAGTTTCCTTGACGCAAATTCATATGGTAGTTCATATTGATAATTTTAAGATGAAATTTGTCTGATAAAAATAGGGGCGGTGGGGTAGCCTAGTGGTTAAAGTGTTTGCTCATCACGCCGAAGACCACAGGTTCGATTCCCCACATGGGTACAATGTGTGAAGCCCATTTCTGGTGTCCCCCGCCGTGATGCTGCTGGAATATTGCTAAAAGCGGCGTAAAACCAAAACTCAGTCAGTCAGTCTGATGAAAATAAGTGTTTACCATGTTTTACACAACAGATAAACATGCTGTATGCAAAAATCCAGGGTTTGGGCATAGCTAAAAAAACTGTATCCTTAAGTATCTACATAAAGTTTAGCATCCTACATTAAATTATAAAGTTTGTCAATGGTTTTAGATGTCTGTCTCGCAAAGTCCAGGGTTTATTTTCACAGTTGTTACTGTTCAGTGATTTCATATCATTCTCAGACATGTTGATATTCTTGTATCTCATAAAAAAAATTCTTACGAGTTACTCCGCAATTATCTAGGATTTGTTTGTGAAATCATAATTGATGATTGATTCCTCCTTGATGACGGGAGGGGGTGGGGTAGCCTAGTGGTTCAAGCGTTCGCTCGTCACACCAAAGACCCGAGTTTCATACCTCACATGGGTACAATGTGTGAAGCCCATTTTGGTGTCCCCCTGCTGTGATATTGCTGGAATATTGCTGAAAATGGCGTAAAACTCAACTCACTCCTTGATGACATAATGAAATGTGCTGTTCAGCATATTTTTGCTCTTCCATTGTGAAGTTCAGTAAAACTAGAGCGCTTGGAAGTACAAACACACTTTCTCCAGCACTTTCGACCGCCTCTGTGGTGTAGTGGTTAGTGCATCCGCCTGGAGAGCGGAAGGTCGCGGGTTCGATCCCCGACCGCGTCATACCAAAAGTCGTTAAAAGACGTTACTTGTTGGTCCCTGCCTGGCGCTCGGTATTAATGGGTACAACAAGGACTGGTCAGCTCGGAGTCAGTATAATGTGTCTGAGTGGGGTATTCATGCTTCACTGCGGTATGGTATCTCAGTGGGCTAGCACTATAAAACAAGCTTAAATCTGGGCTAGTACAAGCAGCCACACATTCACACGCACGCACGTCGTCATGTGAGCGAAATATTCTCAAGCACGACGTTAAACCCAATTTCACCTCACCTCTTCAGCACTTTCCTTTTGGAAAAAGATTCTGGCCTTTTACAACTCTGTTACTTTCACCATTTGGGGTGTTGGGGTAGCCAAGTGGTTGAAGTGTTGGTTCGTCACACTAAAAGACGTGAAGAGCTGCGTCCGTTTCCCCATATGTGCACAAAGCCCATTTCTTGTGTCCCTGCTGTGATTTTGCTGGAATATTGCTGAAAGCGGCGTAAAACTACTCACTCACTTTCACCGTTTGTGTACAAATGATTTTGGAAGACTGTTCCGTTTGGTCATTTGGACCTTCCAGTCAATCTTTGATCATTTTGATTAATTGGAATGCCCTGTTAACTAGAGTCAGGCTTTGTGCTCTCCATGGTAATGTTACATATATTTGCAGTGATTCACAAGGTCCTCAGCGTATATCTATTTCATTCAACCTCTTGGCTGTTAGAGAATTGGGAAGTATCAGTAATAATCATGATATAATCACCAGAATGACATCTACAGATAAGAATGTACAGCATTGTATTTAGTTGCCTTGGTTACATGATAAATAAGATTATGTATTTACCTTTTCCTTTTACTGTATCTGGGGCAGTGGGGTAGCCTAGTGGTTAAAGCGTTCATTCGCTGAAGACCCGGGTTCGATTCCCCACATGGGTACAATGTGTGAAGCCCATTTCTGGTGTCCCCCGCCGTGATATTGCTGGAATATTGCTAAAAGCAGTGTAAAACCATACTCACTCACTCTTACTGTATCTTAAGCTAATTTATTGAGGTAGTGGGTCAGTCTAATCCTGCAAATGGCTAAAGTGAAAACTAATATAAATGTTTCGCTCACATCCAATGTTCTCTATGATGTAGCTGGAAAATAGTTAAAATTAGAGAAACTGCAGCCGCTCACTAAACAATTTTCAGAAGTAATCAGAAATATTAACATTCATTCCCAGTTCACCTACCACCTGCACTTTGTTTGAAAATCTTGGATAAGCTCTTGGAAAATTTAGACGAAGTTTGCTTTTTATGCAACAAGGGCCCATTCATTTATTAACCTCAGATGACGGCATGATGTTCAATCAGATCAAGAAATAGAAAGCCAATCTCTGCCGTAGTGAGAGAGTAATGAGATTTTGAAATAGTCCTCCAGAAAATGCACAAGTTTGTTGAAAAACACATTGAAGCTCTATAATGTTCATTAATATGTTAATTTTCTTTTGACAGGCACAACCCTTTAACCATTTTTTTCTACCTTTTTTTTCATTTATCCATAATGGATTTCCAAGAAGTGTGTGGTCGTAATTCAGCTGAGAAGAATGGATTTCGAAGGATGTTCCGAAGACTACTCGGGCAATGTGGTGGATTCCAAGACCAACCTAATCATCAACTACCTCCCCCAAACCCTCACAGATGAAGAGTTCAGGTCAATGTTCCTCAGTATTGGCCCAGTCAAGATGGCCAAGATAGTCCGAGACAAGAAGACAGGGTACAGCTATGGCTTCGGTTTTGTTGACTATGATAACGAGAATGATGCAGAAAGAGCCATCACGACCTTGAATGGTCTTCAGATGCAGCACAAGAGGATAAAGGTGGCATATTCACGGAAGGGAGACTCTGGGGAAACGGTAAAGGGAGCTAACTTGTACATACGTAGCATTCCCTTGTACTGGGGTGAGAACGAACTAAACAACTATTTCAGCCCCTATGGTGATATTGTACAAAGTCGAGTCCTTGTAGATTTGAACACAGGAATCTCCAAAAGGGTTGGCTTTGTCCTTTACAGCAAGAGGTCAGAGGCAGAAACTGCCATTGAGTACCTGAACGGTAAGGCCCCGCCCGATTCACCAGACAACCTGCTTATCAAGTTTGCGGACGATAGTTCCAAGAAGGTCAAGGCCCCTCCGATGCCCCCACCTCCTCCACCGTTCCAAGGGATGGGCTTCAAACCTCGCTTCAATTCACCAGGACCAATGAGGAACCAGAGAAACCGAGCCCACTTCAACCCGATGGGCAGCCAGAACGGTAATGGTAGTAACTACAGTGGTGGACAACATTCGCAGTACCATGGTCAAGGTCAGGACGATGCGCAAGACGGACATGTTCTGTTTATTTACAACATCGGCACGGAGGCCGATGACAGAGTGCTGTGGGAGCTGTTCGGTCCATGTGGAACGGTAAGCAAGGTTACCGTCATGATGGATCAGGCTAAAGGTGTAAGTAAAGGCTTTGGCTTTGTCACCATGCCTAATTACCAGGAGGCAGAATACGCCATTAGGGTCCGTAATGGCATGTGGTATAATGGCAAGCAGTTGCAGGTATCCTTCAAAAAATAATTTGCAGTTCGTATTCAGTTACATTTTAACTGAGAAACCACAGAACTGAACATGATTGGTAAATGTTATACAAACATTGTTGACACTGGTTGAGACAGATTCAAAGATGAAGCTTAAGGATTGCTTGGTTTTATTAGGAGTGTCAGTTGATGTGGTTTTCTGCTTAATTGTTTGTATTGAGGTACTGGGCATTTCTGATGACCGACTTGAATTGATAAAACTAACCATTGACGTAAGTCCAATTTTCTTACACCAAGTTGTCATGGTTATACGCCAAGCGAAAAACAAATATGATCAAATTTAATGAATGTCTGTTGTCAGGGGAATAGTTTTCTAACTGTGACATCAGTGCATAGTAATCTTGTTAGGGCTGGCTAGCGATATGAATAATAGAGTTAAGTAATCGTTAATTACATATTGATCGATTATCGATAAATATCGGAGACTTGATTTGAAGCAAAAATGCCAAATATGTCTGAAAGTAATGAACATATTTCACGTCAATGGTGAGTGATGACATGTTTTTGCATAGATTATTAACTAAACACCGCCAGGGACAAAATTTAGAAGCATACAATGAATAAAGTCCTAAATTTGTATATTGTGTGAGAAAATTTAAAAAAATTCCATCACCAAAGGTGATATGTGAAATTATCATTAACACAATTTTCATATTGATAATCATTAATAATCTTTCCTATCAACGATATTTCCGATTATCGATCATTTTAGCCAGCCCTAAATCTTGTTATGTCATCAGTGGAATACCACTTCACATAAGACATAAAACATAACTGGGCACCTGTTATCCATTTCTTCAATAATGGCACACTTACGTTCATTAATATTTCGTACAACATTCAGATATTGTGATACCGGATGTCCTGAATAGTGACGGTAATATTCCAACAAATCATGTTGACTGTTCATACTCCTCATAGTTTAGTCACAACTTAACAGGTGAAGGTTGATTCAGTAATTACCATGGTAACACTCACTAACCTTGCCAAAATATGCATACTGACAGGATTTTGATAAGTTGATGCAGAAAGATAACTTCTTGTGTTAAATGTTAATTTTTGTGCTCTCATTTCTTTAACGCTTTTGAGGATTATATGTCATTTACCCAGAAGCCATTGTCATGGATAACTTTTTGAGCATTTTTCAAATGTAGTTACTTTAAATGAGTTCTCAGAATCAAATTGCTTTCATGACCGTGCAAACTTTTGTGCAGAGATATGAGATGCTCTCATTAAAGTTATTTTTGTGAATCGATCCATGTTTTTTATCATAAGAAGATATGACACTGGACAATCAAAGTTGGTATTTCAGAGGAAATTTGCAAATTTATATTTTAGAATGGCATATGTTCAATGCATGTATTTCTGTACAACTGCTCTCATTAAAATCAGGTCATAGTGCTCAGCTCTGTGGCATGTTGGTGGGAGGAGCACCTGATATAATTGAGATTACGTGTTAGGAATTTCCATGGTTAGGTCCTGTCAAAGGTTTAGTTTTTACAATTTGTGGAGCAGTTGGGTAGCCAAGTGGTTAAATCGTTCACTTGTCGTACTGAAGACCCTGGTTTGATTCCCCACATGGGTACAATGTGTAAAGCCCATTCCTGGAATATTGCTAAAAGTGGTGTAAAACCTTACTTACTCCAACTCACTCTCTCTTAGAATTTACCTCCATGGGTAGACAGGGATGAGAATTTTCTGCGGAATTCCGGGAATTTCATAAGGCCATGGGTAATTTTTGTGAATCGTCTAAATCTGATAGGGCCAAAAAAAAAATGTTGTGGTTCCGATTTCCATTTCAGAACTAGGGTAGGTAGGTAGGTTTGTTTGGGGTTTTGCAAAATATTTTTACATTACTCATGTCAGAAAATAAATTTAATTTATTATGTGGTGAGTAAAATTGTTAGGCTCGGCAGGAATATTTAGAGTAGGTTGGGTAATCGGAACCACAAGCTTCTTTTTTAGGCCTAGATGCTAAACCCCCGGCTAGTTTTCAGAGTTTTTCTCAAAACTTCATTTTCATTCCTGGGTATATAACAGTGCATTATGGGCATTTATCTTAATAAATGTGTGTAATAAATGTGGACAATCCAGAATTCTTAGAATCTTTTACATGTAATGCTCGAATTGTGGATAAAAAAAGAACTTAAACTGAAGCTTACAGGACTGACAAATAGTATTCACCAGGTTTGCTATTATTTAGAATTTGATTTACTGTTTTCATCATGTTTACGTCTTAACTGATTATGGTGTATTTGACCATGAAAATACATAACAGGTTCAGTGTTAAACTGATGGCTTTCATTCAAGTTTGTGCCTACTGTTTCATGTGGGAAACAGATTTTTTGTTTCTGTTGTTTTTGTCAGTTTTAGCAGATGACACAAGTATGTACAGTGCCTGCTAATTTCTTGCAGAATTTTCTCAGTTTTAGCAGGTGACACAAGTATGTACAGTGCCTGCTAATGTCTTGCAGAATTTTCTCAGTTTTAGCAGGTGACACAAGTATGTTCAGTGCCTGCTAAATTCCTGCAGAATTTGTCAAGATGGGGTGTGTAGTCTGAAAGGGATATGAATGTGTTATTATTGTTTATGATTGGTTTATCATGGGGCCTTGAATATGGCTTGTACTCATTTGTCTCAAGATTAAAAAAATATTTTTCAGCCATTTTGTTTCAACTAGGATTTGCTAGAAGTTGCACGTAGTGATTTGTGAGATTTCATTGTACTTCTTTTTACCATTCAGGATGAGTATTTTCAGCTGAAGATTCAGTGAGGTCAATACATATTCACATAAATGACAGTACCACAAAACATTACTTTCAGTTGTTTTTTCTTTTTAGTGTGTATGGAAAAAAACCTTTCTCATCCCTGGAGATTTCATTTTGCTATTTCCTGTCAGTTGGGTATACTTATTGTTTGAAAGCTTTAAAAAGTTACATATTTCATTTTCTTGCTACATGCAGGTCTGAAAGGTCTGTAAGACAGTGATAACCCCTATGTTACATGTGTTATCAATAATGTTGATATGGTTCTCATCACAATCAGCTGTTCTTGTTGCTGTACAGAATAATTGTTGATATGTGGATTTTATTTCTTGAGCGTGTAAACCATGTGAAGAATACATTACTTTCAAGTATTAACCTGTTTGGTGTCTTTGTTTATGTATTGACCCGGGTCAGAGTTTGGTCTTCAGTAACCCACGCTACTAAGAGGCGTATCAAGCTTCTACGTTCATGCAAGTTCAGCCTGTGTGGATACAGGTACACTCATACAGGGGTTCATGTTACCACTTACAATGCAGGTGAAACCCACAGATCACGACCCCTGCACCACACAGGGCTCCAACACAAAAAACGTACCTGTGAAGATCTGGCCCGGATTTCTCGGAACAAACTTAAGTTTTTACTCAAATCTCAAACTGAGTTTCACAATTTGAAACAGCTGAATTTTCAAAATATAAAAGCCCAAACAACTTAAGTAATCTATCCACCAAACTCAAATTGTCTTCTATAGTTTGAGTTTAATACCAATTTCAGTTCATTCTGTGGAATGCATTTTCTCAAATTTGAGTAAAAACTCGAACTTAAGTCAAACCTCAGACTTAAGTTTGTTTCGAGAAATCGGGGACTGGGTTTTAGGATTGGTCTTCAGCAACCCATGGGTTTTAGGATTGGTCTTCAGCAACCCATGATTGTCACAAGAGACGACTAACAAGATCGGGTAGTCGGACTCGCCGACTTGGAAATGGCATCATATCCCAATTGTCCATTCGATGCTTATGATGTTGATAAACATTGTCTGCTCTGATTAACAGACCACTTGAATATTGCTGGGTTAGACAACATTCAATGGATCAATAGTCAGATATGGTGACATGAAGTTGAATATGTTTGTGGGTCTCTCCGAGCCCTTTTTGTTGTGAGGGAATTATTCATGTCATCAGCATAGATCCATATCATCATGTATGCAGAGAAGTCATTGGCTGTGTGAGTGGGTGTCCGAGAGTTCCATGTTCACAGTGAAATGGCTATATTGATAGGATGTGCATAGATCGATACCATCACGTACAGTGACAGAGCCAGCAGTCAGTAGTTCAATGTATGCGCCACGTTTACCAAGAGAGGATCTTGTGGACAGGATCAGCATTGAATAACATCATGTACATTGACACAATTGGCCAAGAACTGATGAAAGTTGCATGAAAGAGTTGGTGGTGTTCTGATGATCGAAAATCGATCGAAAGAATTATAAATGATTATCGATTGTAAAACATATTTTTGATTACTTGGAATTTTCTTGTTTTTGTATAACACCCTTGAATTAAGTATACTAACCATTTAATTTCAATATTCATGAACAAACATGCGCTCAACAACTTAAAGCTATGAGCATTGTAAAATTTAAACCACTTTTATTGTTTAATTACAATTCCAGTGTCTTACTTGCATGTGTGCATTTCATTGCATGACAATATTAATTATAAACAAGAAAAAATTGTGTCCAGGGACACGGATGCCCCCGCTGACATTCATAAGACATATAAAGATCAATAATTGAACAAAATTCACGAACAAGTTCAATAAACATCTATGCAACTATGACATGCACACCTTTCGAGTCTCAATGAAACACATGTATAAGCTTAATCAATTCTGTTGAGCAGTTTTTGTGGAGAAGTTGATGGACTTCATCCCCTATAACACTATATTCAGAGAGAAATTCAACAAAATTTATGCAAGTTTAAACGGCATTAAAATTGGAAAAATAAATAAAATACAAAATCAAAATATGAGATGCACACCTTTAGAGTCCCTATAAAGCACATGTGTAATCTAAAAGAATTCCATAAAGTAGTTTTTGAGGAGAAGTGGATAACGTACACCCCCTGTTGTATGGGACAAACTAGATGAATAGAACCAAATTCAACTAAGTTCAAACATCTGTAGAAGTGACAAAATTAAGAAATTGGATGAACAAGGTATGAGATGCACACCTTAAGAGTTCCAATGAAACACACGTAGAAGCTCAATCAATTCTGTTCAGCAGCTTTTGTGGAGAAGTGGATAGACTTCACCCCCTACAACACTATATTCAGAGAGAAATTCAACAAAATTGATCTAAGTTCAAACGGCATTAAAATTGGAAAAATAAATAAAATACAAAATCAAAATATGAGACGCACGCCTTTAGTGTCCCTATAAAGCACATGTGTAATCTAAAAGAATTCCATAAAGTAGTTTTTGAGGAGAAGTGGATAACGTACACCCCCTGTTGGATGGAATGAACACTGGCTGAATAGAACCAAATTCAACTAAGTTCAAACATCTGTAAAAGTGACAAAAGTAAGAAATTGCATAAAAAATTATGAAATGCACACCTTTAGAGTCCCTACAAAAGACATGTAGAAGTTCATTCAATTCTGTTGAGCAGTTTTTGTGGAGAAGTGGATAGACTTCATCCCCTACAACACTATCATAGAGAAATTCAGCAAAATGTACCTAAGTTCAAATGTCTCTAAACTTACAAAAAAAAACAATAAAATAAAAAAACAAAATATGAGATGCACACCATTAGAGTCCCAAGAAAGACCATGTATAAGTTCATTGAATTCCACAGAGCGGTTATGGTGGAGAAGTGGCTAGAATACATTCCCTGTTTCGGACGGACCGGATGGACGGACGTGACGGACGGACACCGAGGGTAACCCTATATGCCCCTGCCATATTTATGGCGGGGGCATAAAAAAACCCAATAATTAGAATAAACCTGGGGGAAAACTCTTAAAATTGGTGATTACATTAAAAATGTATATATTTCGATTATAGTCGATAATCGTTCACCACAAGTCCTCCGATAATCGATAGTGGATTTGGTTTCCAATTCCAAACACTAGTAAGAGCCATGTGTTGAACATTTAACAAAATAGCAAAGTCACACATCCACATCAACCTGCCATGTTCTCAGTGGGCTAGCACTGTGTATATGAATCTGGAAAAAGCAGCCACAAACGGGAATGCTGCAAAATATGTACAGTGATGTTCTATTCAGGACTGAGCCCCATGTCACCTCATTGTGAAAAACAATTCTCAGCACCACTGGCCATGTTTGTTGCAGATATTGAAAGAATGATTTCAAAAATAAAATGTTCATAAAAAAATAAACTATAGCTTTATTGTGGCTGTAATCATACATAATCATATCATTTGAGGGTATGTCCCTCTGTACTACCTCTTCATAATGCATAAATAACTTAATGGATGTGACCATCGTCGAACACGTGCTTTTGGTATGATAAAACATAGTAGTTTCAGAAATGAAATATTTCAGTAAGTATTAGCCTGGCTCACAACTGGCCATCCTCGATAATCTCCAGGGTATACGTTACGATCACTCTCCACTATACCCTGGATGCATCCACGGCTTGGCCCGGTGATTTTATTACCTCCCTTTGCTGGCTTTTTATCCAATCAGGTGTCTATGCTGGGAAGTTGAGCAAACCAATCACTACTCACTTTCGCTTCTTAAATTATCTAACCGTTTAAACTTGGCAACACAATTGATGCAGAGGTACTCTGAAAGAGGTAGAAAGAGTTCTTTTATATATTTTTTGAAAGTTTCAGATCTGTCAATTTGTCTGTATTATTTCCTCAAAAATATGAGTGGCACTGCGAAGAATCCTTCGCGACTGCGGCCGCTATCTTTGTTGACACTGGCAAGCTCGGATGTAACGGAGGCTTAGCTGATTGGCTACTGTGAGAATGCGGAGCCAGCAAAGGGAGGTAATATAATCATCGGGCCAAGCCGTGGATGCATCCAGGGTATAGTGGAGAGTGATCGTAACGTATACCCTGGAGATTATCGAGGATGACAATTTGCATGAATCTGGGATTGAAACATCATGGCACATCTGTGGAAGGCAGTCAGCCCAGAATGTTCTGGCACCGTATTTGACTTGACCACCTGAGCTTTCAGAAGAGTGAAGCACATTTAGTCCTTAGGGATGCCACGATACATCGATACTTTTTCTAAGATGATGCAATTATCAATACAATCAAAACTGTATCGATAATTAGTTTTGAAAGTATCGGCTTAAATATGTTTATGTATCCTTTACATTTTGCAATTGTATCATGATTTTTGATGTTATGAGAGTTATAAATGATTATTGTTCATGCACAAAGATGGGAAATTAGAACTTTTTAATCTCTGAGAATAAAACACGTTGATCTTTTCATGGACAACTATAAAATAGGAAATAATAATGTTCAAAATTTAACTAAATTTATGCAATAATGCCGCAAAAATGGATATCGTGATGCATATCGAATCGTGACATGGGTATCGTGATGCGTATCGATTCATGAAATTTATGTATAGTGACATCCCTATTGGTCCTTATAATAATAATGTAAATGTTTATGCTAACTACAGTCACAAGACCATTTTTAATGAATATCTGAAACCCCAGGCCCTTCAGAATTAAACTGTGAATAATAAAACTGTGCCAATGATAATAGTGAGGCACTTTTTCCCTAAATAAGATACCGCCTCCGTGGTGTAGTGGTTAGAGCATCTGCCCGGAGAGTGGAAGGTCGCGGGTTCGATCCCCGACCGCGTCATACCAAAAATACGTTAAAATATGGTACTTGTTGGTCCATGCCTCGCGCTCGGCATTAATGGGTACAAGGACTGGTCGGCTCGGAGTCAGTATAATGTGTCTGAGTGGGGTATTCATGCTTCACTGCGGCATGGTATCTCAGTGGGCTAGCACTATAAAACCAGCTTAAGTCTGGGCTAGTACAAGCAGCTACACATACACATGCATGCACGTCGTCATATGAGCGAAATATTCTCAAGCACGACGTAAAACCAAATTTCACCTCACCTAAATAAGATACATAAATGAGTATGAGGTTTAGGATGCAATGGGGTTCACACACTAATCTAAACCCCAGAACTGGTTTGAACTGAAGGGCCAACACATTTACCTACAAGGCAAACCCACCACCACTTGGTCGATGCAGTGTGGCCAACCAGATATACCACTGAGATCTGCACCACCGTAAGGTCACTACTGTTAGATTTGAACTACCCCTCCACGGCGAACTCATCAGAATTAGACTGAAGCGAAGATCTATTGACTCAAACTTTAGGAAAGAGGAAAGAGGACAGAAGACACCTCACCACTGGCATCTGTTTTAACGCCAGAGACTTGATTCCAGTAAACCTAATCTAAAATGATGCTTGCTTAAGCTTGCATTTTAAATTACCTGCCCTTGAATTCTTGATTGCCCTTTGCCAGTTTGACTCAAGATGCGAGTTCCAAACCACCCTCTGTATTTGGTTGGCAATGTCAAAAACATGGTGGGTAGTCCCACAGAATATGATCGAGGTTTGCAATAAATTTAGTATTGCTAAACTTGCACAAAAGAAAGCCCTAAAAACCTTTAAAGCGGAACAAGCATCTTCATGTCGAGCAAACTGTTGGAAAAGGCTTATGTATAATTATTGTTAGGTATGCATTAAGTACCTCTCTTACTGTTTCCCATATGTAGCATTTGATTGGTTGGTAAATGCTGATGGAACTCAAGGGCAGGTAATCTGAGATTGCTAACAGTGTGCGGAATAGTTTCCACATTTTGTTAGTCAGTCGACCTAGCTATGCCTGAAAGTTACTTGCCCACAAATTAGTTCACTTGTCCGAACTTTGAATGTAGAAACAGGATTCACCATAAAACTGCTAATATGATGAACATTTTTTATAAGGCCATATCTTGCATGATTTAAAAGTGGGTTTAACTTAACAAGTTGGAGAGAGTGATATATTTACAAAATGACCCCATGAAATTTCACTAGCCAGTCGGACCAGTGACTTTGGAGATTTACTGGCCTGCCTGGATTTTTACTAGCCACAGGCTAGCCACTGATTGCTAAACCATGGGAATGAATCATAGCTTTACCAAAATGTGAGCCCTGGGAATGTTGGGAATGCACCACTGTACCGCAGTATTGCTGTATTTGCCCTGAAACACTGAACACAAGGAGAGACCAAAACCATTTATTTGGGGTGCATTTCATATACGTACAAATTAATGATGGGCTGTTAATCTGTTCATAAAAAATAGTTACAAAATGCCCAAAATACCCCAAATCAGCTGGCTTGTAGACAGCTTCTAATGCTCACATTTGTCCCATTCAGTTAACTTTTCATATCAAATGTAATTTGTATCATGTATCACAATACATGTATTACATCAAAGGCCCTGTCTTGTAATGAATCGGTGCAATATTTCATACCTTAGATAACATACAGAAAAAAACCCCTTCTTAAATAGCACATTATTATATGTAATTTTTTGCTTTGGAACTCTTACTTTTCAAAATATCAAAGAATTCCTTTTACAAAATGCCCATCTGAAGCTAGGACTAATGAGTATGTTATATCTGCAGTAAAGTGGTACACAACGTGCAATTTGACATTTGATTTGCTGATGAAGCATCATCAAAGGAGGTGAACCTAGTTAGTAGATAGATCCATTTGATTTATCAGTGGCTCAAAGTTTCTGCGCATACAAGCAGAAACTTTCACCATACAATCATTACATATGTGTATACCACTTTAAATGTCACCTCTAAATTTATTTATTCGTTTTAAAAACGTAGATTATCTTTGGGTGAAAACAATTTTGGGTTAAATCAAGTAAACCTGGGGCTTTTTAACCTTCAAATCTCAACAAACAACATCCTTAATAAAGACACATTTTATGGATAACAACTTGAGAGCGACCTTTCAGTACAGAATATTGAACCAGTACCAAACAGGAAAGGAAATACATATGGTAGAAGAATCTATCGAAATGTTGCACTCACAAAAGCTGCTATCCATAAAATTTGTCATCATTGTGCTTCCCAACTTTGAAAACCCCACTCAAGGGAGACAACTTCCTTCCCTGATCATTGCCGATTGAGACTTTTCTTCCTCAGTGATTGTCAACTGAGGTGGTTCATTTTGGCTGATATGTTATTTTTTCATGCAAAGCATGTTAAGCTGGTAACATTTTAATGAGATGCTTAAGAAGGCTTAGAGTAACATTTGATGCTGTGTTCAAGCGAGATTGAGTTTAACATTTCTATTGCTAATTACACTATTCCTGGACCGGTGAGATTCTGCATCCTTCCTAACTACATAGCGATGAAATATCCCCTTCCTCTTTCCTCACAACAACTGCATTGTTATTTATCCTCGTCAACAGTGCACCAATCTTGTCCATATCAAGTTCGGACTTAAAGTACTTTTCTAGTTCAATGTCAACATCCCGCACGGTCAGTTCTCTATCGACATAAAACACAATCCCGATAAACACGTTTTTGAAAGGTGCATTGTCGTTATCACAGATCCCATGCAACAGCAAGGAAGCCAAAGGGGACAAGCCCTCAAGGTGATCAATAACCACAGATCGTCCGCTCTTGAAATTAGCCCTTATTTTATCGTCAAGGCTTTCCTTCTGGTCCCTTGCTTCAAGATGGTTCAAGAGTCTTGCATCCACGTAGCCATCATCTCCGACACTGCTCGTCAGATGGTTAAAAAGGGAGGCAACTCTTCGGGCCAGACAGCTGGCAGTCGCGGGATGGTCTTTCCGGACAGCAAACAAAACAACAGCTGGGTATCCGGGGTCCGTGGCATTGAGAATATGTTTGACAGATGACTTGATGGTTTTCCATGTTCTCTTGTCCTGAGACTTGAAGGACGACTGAAGGTCATCAACCGTGGACACAAAGGCCTGAAAGCTTGGACTGCGTGATGGTGGTTTCCTAAGGGATGCAGAGAACAGGACTCCCAAAATGATAAGGACTGGGATTACCAGTCCTATCCACATGTAGGGTGGCATTGAGGATGACGTCTGCTTCTTAGGTGCTGCAGGACCTGGAACAATCAGAGAACATGAAATTGAATAAAGTATTTTCCGACATTTGTGTGAGGTGAGGTGAGGTGAAATTGGGTTTTACATCGTGCTTGAGAATATTTCGCTCATATGACGACGTGCATGCATGTGTATGTGTATGTGCGGCTGCTTGTACTAGCCCAGACTTAAGCTGGTTTTATAGTGCTAGCCCACTGAGATACCATGCCGCAGTGAAGCATGAATACCCCACTCAGCAACATTATACTGACTCCGAGCCGACCAGTCCTTGTTGTACCCATTAATGCCGAGCGTCAGGCAGAGACCAACAAGTACCATATTTTAACGTCTTTTGGTATGACGCGGTCGGGGATCGAACCCACGACCTTCCGCTCTCCGGGCGGACGCTCTAACCACTACACCACGGAGGCGGTCCGACATTTGTGTGAGTGAGTTGGGTTTAATGCTGCTTTGAACAGTATTCCAATTAAATTTTGGCAGCTTTATGAGGGAGAAAAGCCTACAACCATACAGGTCACACAGTGTTTCCCGTTATCCTGTATATACCAGACTTTGAAATTATTCTAACATTGTACTGGTCAAGGGCTGTTGGTCATCGTCCGGCAAATTTTATAATAAACTTTTCTAATTACCTCTGTCAATTATATTTCTCCTCGAAAAAAGATTACGTTTTTACAATGTGTGTGTGTGTGTGAGTTCAGTTTTATGCCGCACTCAGCAATATTCTAGCTCTATGGTCGAGGTTGTTTTCACAATGACATTGAGGTGTTGTCAAATAAAAAGCAGCAGTTTGGGAAAACCTCAGGCTAAAATTAGTGGCATGGATGCATTGCGATACCCTCTACATTTCTGATTGGTTGTTAAGGTGCACTTGACCGGTAAAATTTACAAATAACCGGTATTTAAAATGCTAGCCGGTCACAATGTCCAGCAGTGAAAAACACTGTTGCAAAAAATATGATACTTGTAAATTTGAAAATGAAGATTTACAAAAAGCACAACTGCTGTATATCTGTCGTTCTGATCAGATTTAAGCATCATTTTTTATTTGCTCTGTCATAAAAGACAGCACCAAGCCATTGTTGCTGCTCCCTGTTGATCACCCAATACACTTCTATTGAACTTTAACTTTAATGATTATGTTTTAATTTTAATTTCAGTCCATGATCAAATCTGAAACAAACCGTATAGCCAGGGTTTTACCCAAAAAGGTAGAAATCTGCATCCAGTTTACTGAAACATCCAGAATGGATGCATATATATCATAAGGTTCCTGAAACTAAAATAAGGACTAAATTTGACATTTCAATACCCGACACTGTGTCATTACTTTACAGGGCGGTGGGGTAGCCTAGTGGTTAAAGTGTTTGCTTGTCACGAAGAAGGCCCGGGTTCGTTTTCCCACATGGGTACAATGTGTGAAGCCAATTTCTGGTGTCCCCTGCAGTGATATTGCCGGCATATTGCTAGAAGCGGCATAAGTGAGTGAGTGAGTTGAGTTTTACGCCGCACTCAGCAATATTCAACCTTTTTGGCGGCGGTCTGTAAATAATCGAGTCTGGACCAGACAATCCAGTGATCAACAGCATGACCATCGATCTGCGCAATTGGGAACCGATGACATGTGTCAACCAAGTCAGGGAGCCTGACCACCCGATCCCGTTAGTCGTCTTTTACGACATGCATAGTCACCTTTTGTGGCAAGCCTGGGTTGCCAAAGACCTATTCTACCCCGGATCTTCACGGGTCTAGAAGCGGCATAAAACACAACTCACTCACTCATTATGTGCAGGGCCTTCACTTTTCCTGTAAGGACCGAATACATTTAACCATAAGGCTGGGATATAACTGGAATTCTGTTCAATAAAGCATTAAAAACAAAGTTTCCAATACTGACTGTACCTATCACTTCTCTGTGGTCACTGGCATCAGAGAGGTCTTTAAACATTTCAAAATTATAACATGTTCATCATTGTGGCATAACAAATCTGAGATATATTATATTGCTACAAGTCATACTGATGTTTACACCATTAATACTTTCTGACCATTCAATTCTCCAAATGTTTCAGGAATTTGTTTTATAACAAATTACAAAAAGAAAAAAATATTACGTATGTGTACTAATTTCAGTATTATAAGTTAATACAATGAACTTAAAATGTTTTAGGAATTTGTTTTATACCAAATTACAAAATGTAAAAAATGATAAATATGTGTACTGATTAGAGTCATAAGTTCAAGTTTTAGGTTCAACCCTTCAACTGGTTTGAAGAAAACTGAAAGTTAGATAGTTGTATTGCAATCAGTATCATTTACTCCACACCATAAGTTCAGTTGGACATTTGGTCCTGGGGGGCTGAGTATCCAACTTTTGCAAAAAAATCAGTGATTTAATACCTGCAGGCCTTTCATCTTTTTGCATTGTTGACAAATCCGGATAAATGTTCTTGTATTGTGGTGAAGTGTCACTACCAGACATATCTCCCCGACGGTTTGCCCGATGTTGAAGGATGGGGGATGTGTCACTATCAGACACATTCCCTCGAAGTTTATCCCGACGTTGAATTTTGGGGGATGGAGTCATAGGTGTCGGAGAGGCTCTGGTAGTAGCATAGCTGCTGTCAACATCATCTTCCTGTGAGTCTGTGTACTGATCTTCATCTTCATCCTCCTCATCGTTATGTTCCCGGTACGATAGCCTGCTGGTGTTGGGGGAAGTGTTGGGGGTCGTTCCCCTCCGACTCCTGTTTGTTACAGATGGGCTGTCTGCATCTGAACCTTTAGATGAATTCAAATTCCTAAGATTGTGACCACCCTTTATCTTGCTTGGCATGGTGGAGGTCTTTGTTCTGAAATCAAACAGTCGTCGTTTTAAGAAATACGAGACATCAGTGCAGAAATATGACGTTAAATCAGCAGGGGTGGAAATAACTTTAAAATTGCTTGTGTACTTCGGTACAGTGGCACATGTAAAATCACTTGCCCTGATAAGTTTTCCACTATACCGGCCGTTTTCTTGTTGATTTTTTAAATAAACAACATTATTAACATTGGAAAGTCAACTGGACACTGGTACAGCATGATATACAAATTTGCTTGCCCGACAGAAAAAAACACTTGACTCGGACGTCGGGCAATGGGTTATTATGTCCACCCCTGATCAGTCATTTCAATGGAAGAAGAAACAACAAACTACCATTCCAAGCTCCACACAAGCATCAAAAGGACACCAACCCACACGGATGAATATCTTCATTCCACATCTACCATCCCCACCAGGGGCTTAGCTACCATTATTAAAAAAGCCCGGGCGTACATATGATTGTTGTAAAAAGGTTGGGCAAGCCCTGTATGCTATCTTGTTTAGAAGCATTGCAACCTATCGGGCTTGCTACACGCCTGCCTACAAGTCAACCCGAGAAGATCCGGGTTAGAATAATGGTCTTCAGTAACCCATGATTGTCTTAAGAGGCGACTAACGGGATCGCGTGGTCAGGCTCGCTGACTTGGTTGACACATGTCATCGGTTCCCAATTGTGCAGATCAATGCTCATGCTGTTGATCACTGGACTGTCTGGTCAAGACTTGATTATTTTCAGACCGCCACCATATAGCCGGGAATATTGCTGAGTGCGGCATAAAACTAAACTCACTCACTCCCTACAACTTACAAGTCAAGATAGGAATATTCGCCACCCTAGCCAGGAAAGCAAAGAACACCAGCTCCACAACCCAAGTCCTTCAAGCTGAGTTAGAACACCTTTGACATGTGTTCATAACCATCAAGACCAGCCTCAAAACAGGAGACAAACCACCACGTCAGCATTCAGCACCATTCAGCCAGCCTACTAAAGGAACAAACCTAGGAATTTTTTGGGTTGGCCAATGCCCCACCTATTTAAATTTGGGTGGGTCCCAATGCTTGATAGGAGGGTCCAAGTGCCCCACCAGGTTATTTATAGGTGGGCCCCTTTTAGATTGGGTGTTTGAAGTTTTCAACTAAATGTATGTACTTAAAGGTCACATGCAACCAAAAAATCAAACATAATTAAAACACAATTATCACTTATTCATGACATATAATATACATTGCTGATTATGAAAATACACATAAACAAAATTATAAGCGTACAATCGCAAATCTAAAGTACAATATTTTGTACTTGGTTTACTTCCCAAGAAACGAAGCAGCCGAGATACAGAACCCAGTCAGAGCGGGTGGGGTGCACTCAAGTGTAACAGCTGGTTTATTTTCTCGATGCCCTCACGGCTCATTGTGTGTGTATATAAAGAGATGTTGGGTTTTGTAAATAGGGGAGCAGGACAAAAGCCACCCAGCATTAGTCCGGTGTTTTGTCCGGGTGGCATTTGTCCTAGTCCCTGTAAATACATGCTCATTTTTTGTGTATAACATTTTGCAATCAACAGACATCATAACATGTCATGTGTACAAGTATCACACCTGCCTGTCTGTCTAATTACATAATGTGACAGAGACCGAACTCAGGGCCATAAATCAATGCGTTTTGTTTATGGTGTATAGCCTGATAGGTGTTAAGTTCAAATTGCATGTGGTCAGTGATCGAAGTTGTGTATTGAATATTGTCATTGGCAGACAGGCAGGCAGACACATAGGTGTCAATAAAACAGACATTGAGTTTTGTCTGTGACAACGACATATCTATATCACAGTTAGAAATTCTGTTAACGCTAAATAATGACATTGCTTTTAAGTATCGAACTGAGAAAGTGACTCTGTAAGAAGAATGTGTGGTGAAATAGACAAATGAAATTATAGAAACAGTTAAATTGGTAATGTACTGTCATAACATATAAAAAGCTCGCACATGTGAATTATCAACAAAACATTAGGAAAATAGCTCACACCAAAGCCTTCACCGACTATTCACCACTATCGCCGCTTTTAGCAATACATCAGACAACTTCACACATTGTGCCCATGTGGGCGAAACCTATTTCACCGCTTTTAACCATTAGGCTATGTGCTATTCACCAGACAAGTCCAGTGCAGAACCTATTTCACAGCCATGTGCAGCTGTTGAAACCACTTTTTCCCCCAAGAGCTGGAGGAAAATTAGTGAATCGTTTGAACTACGATTTCGCGCGGTTTTTTTCATCATGTTATTTTTCAACTTTATAAGTTGAATTTGCATTTTTGATGATATGTTTCGGTAAGTCCATACCGAAAGGTATCAGAATCTGAAAAGTTGTGTTTTACGTTGCATGTGACCTTTAATATGGTATGTGAATAAACTGTTTTCATAAGCTCGTAATTTTTTTGGGGAGACATGATCATTCACAATCATGAACGAAAACCGAAATCGATATATACCAAATGAAAGATTTTTAGAAACATACGCTATCATTGGATGAACTTATTACAACAACCAATCAGGAATATTACTGCATGTGGATTAAAACTGGTTCACTTAAAGGTCACATGCAACGTAAAACACAACTTTGCAGATTCTGATACCTTTCGGTATGGACTTACCGAAACAAATAATCAAAAATGCAAATTCAACTTATAAAGTTGAAAAATAATAACGATGAAAAAACGCCATTAAATCGAGTTCAAACGTTTTCACTAATTTTCTCCCAACTTTTCTGGGGAAAACGGGTTTCAACAGCTGGGCTCATAGCACTGCGCAGTGAAATGATAACAGCTGGTTGTCCGTGAATATTAATGTTTGTTGATATCATAAGGCATACAGCTTTTTATAAGTAAATTATTATATCACCACATGTTCTTCTTACAGAGTCACTTTCTCATTTAATACTTAGGCTAACACTTGTATTTTTCAGAATCTGACCTGGCTGCTAATGACAATTCAACTTTATTTTGTGTCCACAGGAAGCAATCCAAATTTCTTTCAGCGGCAATTTATATTTTGATGTGGAAATGACGCAGAAACGCATCCTAGGTTTATCCCTGATACTATATATAGATACAACTGGCGATGCAGTAAGCAAACATAGATGTTGGGTTCCAGAGAGGCAGATAAATTCAGCATGCTTTACAAGTCACCGGCAAACCAGCTACAAGAACCAAAGATGATCCTTCAGCCGTTGTCCATCACATTCCATGGATTATTAGATTACGTCATTAGATTATGTTTTGGGGGCATTATGATACAATGAAACTGTACTACTGATATGTATCCCAGGTATGCTTCTGTATAGATAAATGTACCCTACATATAGTGGAAATTAGGGCTGTGCAATATAACCGATTTACCGGTACTAACCTGTTCAGACATGAAATCGATACGTATTGCGATGCGCTGATCGAAAACCAGTAGTTTGACATGCATTTGGAACACTTTGTAACACTCGGAAATCTTCGGATATTTCCATTTTTTAAATTGTTCCTTTCCTTGTTTCATTTGTTCCAATATAAATCAAGCATTAACTCGATTGTAGGTAGTTGTTTTGGTTTAATGAAACCACTCGCAATATATTGCAATACATATCGCAATATATGCTTTTGCATCGCAATATATCGCAATATGAAAATCCTCTGCAATACCCACACCAAGTGAAAAAACATAAATGTACCCAGTACCATAAATGGCATTTGAATCTTTATCCTCAACCAGAAACTGGTTCATGTTATAGTTTACATAAACTATATTTATAGAAAATAATAGATTTATTAGATTTATTTATTAATAATAGATCATATAATAATATATATAACAAAATATATAAACGTATCTATATAAACATAATCTAATGACATAATCTAATAATCCATGGAATGTGGTGGACAACGCATGAAGGATCATCTTTGTTTCTTGTAGGTTTGCTTGATTTCGAGTGATACTGTCCATCGCGCAATATTTGTCACTGTGTATGCTAGTTTCTTATATATAAAGTAATCAACTACAGTCTACATCTCATACAACAGTATGACAGTTCCGATCAAGAATATGATGTGACTTTTCCTAAGGTACATTTCTGTCTTCTGATTTGGGCAAGAGTATATTTCTGTATGCAGAAACGTATGTGGGTACATATCTGTAGTAGATCTACTGTGCTGACAACAACACCTTCAGTTATAGTTTGCTGAAATTTATAAAAAGAACCAAACATGAAAGAATACTGACATTGTTTTATGGCCCATCCCATAGTTGTGAATTAATATTGTCGACACCCATTTCACTGAGGCACTTTTCTAATGATTCTCACCACACCCTTTTAATAAATGACCAGCCCTTTTTTTACACAATGTCAAGATGAGTCTAATGAAACAATATGGTAACCGGTAAACAACAAAGATTATACTTTATATCCATTATACAAATATGATGTAAATTGTGCAGTTGTAAGTAGGACTAAAACTAATATGTTTAGCCTTGTTTCAGCTTTCACTTTCACTTGTAATAATTTCAGTTTGAGCAGCACTGAACTCGGATTGATTGCACGTAAAGCGTCTGCCACTCTCTATCGCCATTGTACGTGTATCTCAAATGTGCTCACTGTGTCGTTTGAAGTCAATATGCCATGTGATCTAGACGAAGCACCATTCAGTTGCTCCAAGACGGTCACACACTTCCTTTCAATGTTTGCGCCTCGCGACCCCAAGCGGAGAAATGCTCCTTGGATTCATAAAAAATCCTGCCAAAGTAAGAAACTGCGAGAAACATAGACCTTAGGGCTATCATAGCCCCTATCATATGATAGGAAGCCTGGAAATGAATATAGATCTATATTTTGATCTGCAAAGGCTGTTTAGGAGGTTCACATTGATTTTCTATATTGTAAGCGATCGACGCCGTGTCTATATTTAGATTATATTTGAGCTGAGCTCCGTCTCTACATATCACGAGGTGAGTATACGTAGAGAGAGCCGAAAACCACATTAGATATAACTCATCGTCATATCGGGGAAAACCCAGTAGATCTACAACAAACCGTTTAGTTGGTTGTCGTGTCGTTTCAGATACGAGTACATTTTTGTTTTCAAAACAACAGTAAAAAGCTACCATCCGCCATTTGGAAGAGACTTCTTGAAGAATCAAGAACCCAGGTAGGCATACGTGGTGTAAATTTACAAATACAGGCATATTATAGCGAAAATGTTTCGGAAAAATGTTCAGCTTGAAACCACGACCGCCATATTGTCAAAGTCATTTATGACTCATCCATTTAAATTTCCTTATGGATTATAAAAATTGTGATGTGCAGGTGTCAAAGAGTATACTGAAGTGAAATTGTTCCTTTGTATTCACCATTATCAGCAATAGCTTAGAAAAAGACAACAATAAAAACTAATCTCACAGACAAACTATTCAACGACTATTTAGTACATTGTCCAAAAGTTGTTTCTGGATAAATCCTAGCCTAAGCTATTAAGTAGGACTCATGTCTTAGACACACTTTTCAGTAAGACAAAAGCCATGTCTTCACTATTTAATAAATTGCTGTAAATTAATTCATAAAGTAATGTCACCAATATTACTAATATTGTAATATTATTAGAGTAACATTATCCAGGTATTTCAATTTAGGCTCATTAAGATTAAGCCCAATGTAAGCACGCCTATTGTAATGCCATAATCACCCAAGCATCCAGTAAATGTGTCAACAAGATTAATACCAGTTCAATTAGGATTAGCAGGATTAAGTACTCCCCACTGTCTGGTCATTTATTATAGGGTATTCTAGGCCACCACCCCCATTAATCTACCATAGTCTTTCTTCTGTTTCAATTCTAAATAAATAGTTAGATAATCAAAATGTAAGTCAGTTGGGTTTAGTCTCTCCAATGCAGGTAAGCTCTAGCCCTAAGCCCAGAGGGTTGTACCAACTCTCTGTGGCCACCCCATGTCATTCTGTTCTTGTAAATAAAATTGTAATTAGCTTCTTGTGACTTCGGACTCTTTGTTGAGCTAATTCCCCTCTACGACCAGCTCACCATTTAGAAAGGGGTTTCACTAGAAACCTCATTGGTACCTTACACAGGCGACCATTATGTACAGTCATGAGTTTGTCTGTCATGATTGTCACCCTCATCATCATGACTTTCAGCATTTCTATAAAATGCCACTCAAACAAGCATTTCTATATTTTATAATATTTCCGGAGACATGGCAAGTTTATATGCTTTGAAGAAAGTGAGGTGAGGTGAAATTGGGTTTAACATCGTGCTTTAGAATATTTCGCTCATATGACGACGTGCATGCGTGTGTATGTGTATGTGACTTATGCTGGTTTTATAGTGGCCACCATACCGCACGCAGTGAAGCATGAATACCCTACTCAGACACATTATACTGACTCGAGCCGACCAGTCCTTGTTGTACCCATGGACCAACATGTACCATATTTTAACGACCTTTTGGTAGACCAATTCTAACCTGGAGTAGATATCTTCGATGAGTATAAAGAAAATATGTTGGTTTACAATCAATAATTATGGGTTTTTTTAATCATTCTTTTCATTGAAGTTAAAAGTTTACAATGCGCGCATAGCTTTATTTATGCTGTTTGGGAATGTTTGTCAAAATTGATTATTTTTGATCATCGGAACATCACTAATCGAATTAGCAATGGATTGCTATTGTTGAGTCTCCGATAGCAATTAATCGATGGCAGAAACGAAAAACTATTGATGCATTGATAGTATGTGTGACTATCGATTGTCTAGTATTTGACTTCTGTTGATAAATGCGCAGTGCAAAATACAGGATGTTTGGGTGCAGACTTGCAGCTTCATTGAGTTTATGTTTTAACTGTTTACTTGATCTGGGCTTCAACATTCTTGTCACTCATTAAAAAAGACTGAAACTACTTCAGCTTCTATTATTTCATATAAAGTATACATTCATTTGGGAAATGACTTCAAATGAAACAATTCAAGGAGAAAAAGCTATTGCAATAGTTGGTCGCAATAGACTACTGCAATCGCAATAGTATGTTGCAATAGACTATTGCTATGGCAATAGTTGTTTTGCCACCAATATTCACCCCTAATATCTGCACCATAAAACCTTGTAGACTCACCTGAAATGTAGACTGAAACTATTTATCTACTTTTTTGTGAAAGCTAACATGGTCCCAGAGTGTGATGTCGATTTTTAGTGTCACTCTTTCCTACCCCCACCTCTCTTGGTAATGTTGTAAAATAATACTCACTCTCTCATTTTTTATACTCATGAAGATTCGGGTTAGAATTGGTCTTCAGCAACCCATACTTGTCATAAGAGGCGACTAACAGGATCAGGTGGTCAGGCTCTCTTACTTGTTTGACACATGCCATTGTGTCCCAAATGGTTAGACTGAAGGTCATGATGTTGATCACTGGATTGTCTAGTCCAGACTCAATTATTCACAGACTGCAACCATAAAGCTGAAATATAGGTGAGTGCGGTGTTAAACAACAAGAAAACAAAATCTCATTTTGAAACAAGTGCATGAAGGTTTCTGAGGTAAGTTACACTCATGCCATGTGTCTGTGTTTATCCAGATATGTTCATCATGTTTGCAGATTCACTGTCGTGAGTCGTGAGTTCAACAGGCGACAATGAGTTGTGAGCAGATCTCCAGCCACCGTGATCTGGAGGTGGGCGATCTGGTTGAGTTCAAACGAGGGCTGTATTCTCACTGGGCTGTTTACATAGGTATAATGCTCTAAAATATTACTTTGATAAAATACTTCCGCATATTATCACCAGAGCATCTCATGGTCAGTCTAAGTAAACTCAGGTTGAGTATTATTCGTTACACTGCCATACTGAGTCTTACAAACCCTACTAGAAGGTCGCGTCAGCTAACCTTTTGTTCTGACCATTTCAGAACGCAGCTTACCAAATCGCGAAAGTTAACATTCGTACATACCGTTTGAACCTTTACCTAAAAAAATTGAACGATTCCAAATGCTATTTTCTGCACGATCGCTTCAGAGTGATACACGTGGACTAAGCAATGAATAAATAGTCGCTGGAAATAGCATTTTTGTCAATATTCAAGGATGTCATCTTGTGGAAATATAAGCTAATAGTCATTAGAAACCCCTAAGCTCATATACTGCAGGTCAGATATATAGAGAATACTACACGAGGTCTCATTACATACGAATTATACGAAACGAGTGACCTTCCTATGGTATCTGACCTCTGGCGGTCAGATCGAATACCATAGGAAGGACACGAAGTTTCAGTATAATTCGTATGTAATGAGACCGAAAGTGTGGTATTTTATTTATTACCACGTCTTACATGCATTAAATTGACAAAATAGGCGTATTTTTGTTAATATTTTGGTTTCAAACCGAAACCCGGTTTCATAAAGGGGTTGCGGAAGAGTTTTGTACTGTAGTACAATATTTGCATGGCGTCACACCAAAATGGCGTCACTGCCTTGGTAACTGACGTCACGATACATGTCAGTTGTCATCGCCTCGTACAGCCTCCTACAGTAAACTACTCCGTAGCACCTCGTTTCTTGGTTTGCAGTTGCTTCATTCGGCTAACATCACTGGTGGAAACATTGCGTTTATGTTTTTCGACGGATATAATGTCTCAGTTCGACTCACAATTAAACAGCGACACGGCAACGTTCTCGATGTTTACATTCCCACAATGCATTTAAGTTGTAGAATGAATGAATTCACGTGTTTGTTATGAATGAAAAAATAGTTACGTCAGAATGTGACCTAATTGAGAGGTCATCGGTTATCCAATCAAATCGTTAGAATCTCAGGTCAAGTCGTTACGACACAGGTCAACGCGATAACACACTCGTGTGATGTACGAGATTAGTATGCAACTACCCATACGTTGACCACGTGGGTAATAACTGTGTTTTATGCAGATTTTCGTTTGTTGATAGATTAGTGTCAGCGACCACTGAAGGGAAAATCCAAAAAACCATTTTGTAAGTCCCACCAAGCCCTAACAAGTAGTCGTTGTCTGATTGGTTAAATCCGTTCGGCTGTCTCGTGTTTAATTGGACAGTCATAGGTCGCTCAAAGGTTAGTTGACGCGACCTTCTATTAGGGCTTGTTAGACTCAGTATAGCAGTTTAACAAATAATTCTGAGCCTAAGTTAATATTAAACTGATCTCAAGTTAGGACAGTATTCTCACTGGCCGGTTAACATAGATATACACAAAGAACTTAATTGAGCACCACCTGTATTTTTGCAATAATACGTTTTCAACATGTACATAAAACCACTCGTAGTGACCATGATGGAAAAACATGACTTTTCTGACCTGTATGATCCTTTCACTCATAAAAAAAGAAAAACTGATTGGAGTCCATGTTGATTTTATGATGTTAGTTGCTCATTTTAAAAAACAACAATGATTTTCATACGAACCATGTCTGTACAAGTATGGCCCTGGAATGTCTAATGTTTAATGTATTGGTGAATGTCTACCCGATTCAAGGTTAATACCGAGTGTAACCTCCATGTGACTGTATGACAGCCAGCACACTCCTCCTCATACCCCCTGTCAACCTCCTGATCCTCTGAAGGGACAGTCTACGTCATTCCTCATGTAAAACAGCTACCAACAGGGACAGGTTCTGTACAGGAGGATCCTTTTGTTGCACACGACGACCAATCATGACCCAGATATGCTCAAAAGGGTTCAGATCGGGGCTGATTCAATCGTGAGATGTGTCAGAGGGTGCTTAACCAAGTTCTTTGTGTATATAATGCCCTAAAATGTTACTTTCTGAAAATACTTAAGGGTATTATCACCAGAGCATTTCATGCAAAGGCTGTATTCTCTCTGGGCTGTTTACATAGGGATATTACTGTAAAATATTATGTTGTGATTGGCATGTTTGGTCATCAAAACCGGCATAAAATTTTGGTCCCGCCATACAACGATATTATGATCATTAAACTGACTGACTGAGTTTGGTTTTACGCCGCTTTTAGCAATATTCCAGCAACATCACGGCGGGGGACACCAGAAATGAGCTTCACACATTGTGCTATGATCATTAAAACATTGTCTAATCCGGCACCTGTCTATTCCGTATTCCGGCACGACTTTCCGGTCCCAACAAGCAATTTTACCTGTAATTAACACTGTCTAAACCGGCATGGGTATGAGCAGTCCAATCAAGGACCCATAATCCAATACACTAATTAATCCTCTTGCACGCTAGACGATGAGGAAGCAGTGATGACGCAGTGAATCAAACGCTCTAGGCGGCATGGGTATGAGCAGTCCAATCAAGGTCCCAATACACTCCCCTCGGCACACTACATTATAAAGAGATTGACGAATGTAAATGGCAGCCATGTTGGAAAATAATCATCACTGTCTAATCCGGCACCCTGTTTAAACCGGCATTTTATTTGGTCCCGTGGGGTGCCAGTTTAGACAGGTTTCACTGTATATAGCAGATGTAATGAACTCTTTACTTTTCTTCATCTTATTCTACACAGGCTGCATTTCTGAAGGGTTCAGCTTACTCCTGCGTAATAACTGGTGCTCCATTTTGTCCATTTTTTCAGTTAAAAAATAACTGATAGTTAACATCTCTTGAAGGGAGGGAGAGGGCCATGAAAAAGGGTGTCAGAAAAACTTCACACATTCCCAAGATCAATCTCTCCTCCTCCCCACCCTGCTCTGTGTAATAAATATGTGGGTGGTGGGGTAGCCTGGTGGTTAAAGCGTTCCCTCATCACACTGAAGACCTGGGTTCGATTCCCCACATGGGTACAATGTGTGAAGCCCATTTCTGTGCCCCTCATGGTGATATTGCTGGAATATTGCTAAAAGCGGTGCAAAACCAAACTCACTCACTCACTCACTCTATGTAATAAGTGACCAGTCCCTAATGATCATAAAATCTACATCATGCCAAAACTCAATTCTGGTTTGTGGATTCAAAGATTGTGACATGATCACTGACAGCTTCCTATTCAGTGGTGGCTGAGTGGGTTAGATGGCCCACTTTGTGCGCTGGCGATTAGGTGCTAGACTGTGAGGTTGTGGACACAAATCCTGGATGGGACTCAACCCAACCTACCCGTGAAGGTCCGGGGTTAGAATGAACCTTCAGTAACCCATGCTTGTCGTAAGAGACGACTAACGAGATCGGGTGGTCAGGCTCGCTGGCTTGGTTGACACATGTCATCGGTTCCCAATTGCGCAGATCGATGCTCATGCTGTTGATCACTGGATTGTCTGGTCCAGACTCAGATTATTTACAGACCGCAGACATATATCTGGAATCTTGCTGAGTGCGGCGTAAAACTGAACTCACTCACTCACTCAAACCAACCAAAGTACTAGATTTGCTGAGAAAGAGTAACATACATGTATGTTGCATTCTATGAATTCAAATGAATTTGAACCTATACTGATGCTTGTTTCCAGGAGGGGGTGAGGTCGTTCACCTGGCAGGGGAAGAAGATGATGGGCTAGGTAATGTCGGGGGGAAGACACGTTTTCACTGTCAGTGGTACAACATTTAACAAGGCTGTGGTCCGTGTCGACATGTTTGACGATGTTGCTGGTGGAGACAAAGCCTACAGAAACAATACCAAGGACAAGAGGTGGAGGTGAGAAAACTGGATTCATTCAGACTTACACATGTGGTAGATGTGTTGTACTTGTTTGTTTGTTGTATAATGCTTCACTCAGCAATATTCCATCTGTATGACGTTTTTTAAATAATCAAGTCTAGACTGGACAATCCAATGATCAACAGCATGAGCATCGATCTGATCAGTTGGGACACGATGTTCGTCGCCTCTTATGACCCATGCTAACGAGATCGGGTGGTCTGGATCACTCACTTGGTTGATACATGTCATCGTATCCCAACTCAATAGATCGATGCTCATGCTGTCGATCACTTGATTGTCTAGTGTATACTTGATTATTTGCAGACCGACACCAATTAGCTGTTATATTGCTGAGTGCAGAGTTAAATAAGAAACAAAACTTTCTGGCATTCACTATGTCTACTATTAGGGGTGTCACGATACACCAATCTCACGATACGATACGTATCACGATTTTAAGGTCACGATACGATACATATTGCGATACATAATTTTCGCGCCTTTTCATATCATTACCTTACCGACAACGTATGCACTACGCACTCGCTGATTGGTCCATCAAAATAGTCTAGCCAATTACAAAAGCTGTTAGTTTCAACCTATTTTTTAAGTAAAGCTAGCTACATCTATTTATCGGAGCGGTCTGGTGTAATTTTACTATCAAGACTTTGACGGAGATGGATATAGCATAAAAATTTGAATCGATAAAGTTTTAAAATAGGAATCGATACACGCAAGCATGTATCGCGTGTATCATATCGTCAGTAAAAATGTATCAATGCATCGATACATTCGCGTATCGCGACACCCCTATCTACTATGTTCACTATTGGTTTTGGTTCCCTGGCAATGCAAGTTACCTTCCTAAACATTTTATCTGAATGTTTGATGAGTAGGTAAAACGGTCATGAAAATCAAGGGCCTTTAGTTTGAGGTGGACACAGGGATGGATCCGGGGGGGTTACTATAATGTAATCCCTGTAGAAATAGAGGATGGCATTTGGTGACTCCATCTGTACTGTTTTTCAGTCCATTCTCAGCAGCGGAGATTGTAGGAAGAGCTCTGTCTAAGGTTGGACGAGTCGGCTACAACCTCATCTTCAGTAACTGTGAACATTTTGTGTCTTGGTGTCGATACGACATGGAACGGAGTGATCAGGTTTGTCAGCATCAGTGGTTGTTTAATTACTGTACGTATTAGGGCTACAACGAATACACTATTTGGCGAATATGATACGTATCATGAATATTGGGTAACGAATCCGAATAATTATTCATGGATACAGTATTGTAGTTAGAGATTGATGCACAAAGTGGAGCGCCCATGTTGATAGTGTTAATTTTTCACAACAATAACCAGTGATCTCATGACACTCAGATTTGGTATGTAATAGTTAGTCAACAGTACCATGTGTGACCTTGGCAAACTAATGTAACATGTGCTACTACAAGGCTAGTACATATTCCATTCTTTCATATCTCACTTTGAAGAAGAACATAATGGTTCAAGTAAAACACACTCCCTTAAAAAATTCGTAAATTTTTGCTAATAATATTCGGTTCTGGTAACCATGAATAACGAATTGAATTTATGAAAGGCTACAGTTCGATTCACCGAATATGCGAGTGAATTGTAACAGCCTTAGTATGTATCATCATTGATAGATGCATATCAGTGAAACAGTGAGTAAAAATTTATCGTCACATCAGCACTGCCTCAGAAATATAGTGAAGGTAACAGTTTATGCATTCTCTTCCCACAGAGGTTACTCCTGTCATATCTTCCTCTGTAACCTCTGTTCTAATACGGCCCTTTCATGGTTGAAGCGTTCAAGACTTGTGATTGGAGGCAATCAGATGTAGTTGTGCAATCATCAACGTTGTTTCAAAAGTGATCATTCGCAAGGCCTCGGTAATTTCCGTATGCTTCGAGAAAACTAAACTTCTTCCCCTGCGCGATGCGCAAACGTTTCTTCTAGACAGAATTCAGTCATGGTATGTATGGATCAGTGGCGTCTCTATCGCCCTCGTTGACAACGGACAAGCTAGCCATTAAACGTCTTGTGTGTAACATCAACACAAGTCCCCAGCAGATGGGGGATATTTGTGGCCCCACATTTGCTTGTGTTAGTCAAGTTGAATCTAAGTCGATGTAACACGTGTTCTGATTGGAGAGAAAGAAGGGAGATAATTCATGTTGCGATCTTTTGCCGTTAGGGGATTTTACGAGAACCGGGAAATATGGCCGTATTAGAACAGAGGTTCGTAGGAAGATTTGACAAGTAACCTCTGTGGGAAGAGAATGCAGTTTATGTTAAATATGATAAATAGCTGTCACAAAGGACGGTTAAACATTTGTAAGCTGTCACAAGATTCGAGTCTAAAAACTAACCATTTCAAATGCTGAAATATCCTACTTGACACATACAACAATAAGACATTTATTGCCATTAAAGGGAACACCATAAATGGACTTCACAAATTGTTCCCATGTGGGGAATTGAACCCAGGTCTTCTGAGTGATGAGCAGAAGCTTTAACCATTAGTCTACTTCACCGCCATTTCTGGTGTCCCCCACCGTGATATTGCTGGAATAATGCTAACAGCGGCGTAAAACCAAACTCAACCACAAAGCGATCTTAACGTAAACATATGCAACTGGGGTGGCGAGGTAGCCTAGTAGTTAAAGCGTTTGCTCGTCATGTCAAAGACCCGGGTTCGATTCTCCGCATGGGTACAATGTGTGAAGCAAATTTCTGGTGTTCCCCGTGGTGACATTGCTGGAATATTGCTAAAAAACTTGTAAAACTAAACTCAGAGGTACAGATAAGCTGCGTATCTGTGTAAATTACGCAAATATTTATTTGAAAACTCAATTCCTATTAAGTCTATAAATGTCATCTTACATGCGTACACACAAAAATGTCAAATCGTAGCTTGCGTACCGGTGGATAGATACAATAACTGAAGTATATTGAGAGGTTCAATTTCAGGACATGAACGTAACAACTTGCAGTCTTTCTTATCATTTCTCATATTACAGATCAAATGTAAATCACAAACACTAACAATTAAACTTTATTATATTTTAAAAATTAATGGAAAATGGCAAAATACCCAATTGAGTTTGAGTGAGGTGAGTACAATTTATATCGTTGCTCAAAGGAAAATTAGCATACCCAATTGAGATGAACACAAGCGAGTACATAACTCAATGACCCAAAAAGTTATCTGTAGCTCTGTAAACTCACTCACTTCTGTAAATCAGAGCATTAACTCCACAATTATTTATTTGATGTAGCTGGTATATCTTGACTATTGAACATTCAATTTAATGGTTATGTTCTTGTGTTTAGGTGGACAGTTTCAAGACTGGGTTCATGGTTGGAATAGCTGTAGTTGCTACAACTGCCATTGTTTCGTTCCTTGGAGGAAGAAGTAAAACAAAGGAGAAGAAGGAGGAAGAACCTTACTAGATGTGTAACCATCCTCGTTTATCCAGTGTTTTAGGCAGTCTGTGAAGAGTATTATGTTCTGGTCCCAGGCCACATATTTCAACCCCTGTTTTAGGCTTCTTATGTTTTCGGAATACTTATTCAAGGGCAGGTACCGGTACCTCTAATCTGTTTCTGGTCCCCATCCACATCAGTTCCAAATCCTGCTTCAGGCTTTCAATAAGTAACTCTAAGCTCCTTTGAGTGGCATGGTTAGAAGTTGGAAAATCCGACAAGGACAAAACTTTATGGATGAACAACCCTTATTAGGTGATGCGAACTTTTCGATACAGATTCTTGTATCGTTGTCAAGCAAGTATTGAAACGTTGCATCCCCCGAATAAAGAAGTTGTTCATCCATAAAGTTTTGTCCTTATCCAACTCTAAGCTGTTTTTCTCCAAACCCAGACCTTTTGTCTGTGCAGTTTGTAGGTTTTAGGAAGGTTATAATATCTTTTTATGTCGAGTTCAGATTAGATAACACTCTAATGAATTGTAAGGAGTAATCTGTGGGTTTTGTTTTAAATTATCGTATGAATTTCATATGCAAATGAGCATGTAAACAGTCTGTTTCAACTGAGACAATTCAAATTACACTGTTGATTGATGTGGAAGCAACAGTATCGCCAGTACTTGATATTTGCATTCAGAGGTGCAGATAAGCTGCGTATCTGCGTAAATTACGCAAATATGTATTTGAAAACTCAATTCCTATTAAGTCTATTGCATACAAGTACGCTTAAAATTTTGTAAATACTCAATAAATGTGATCTTAGATGCGTACACAGAAAAATGTCAAATCTTAGCTTGGGTATAGGTTGATAGATAACATAACTTGGGTATATTGAGAGGTTGTATTTCAGGACATGAACGTAACAACTTGCAGTCTTTCTTATCGTTTCTCATGTTACAGATCAAATATAACAACAAACACTAACATTTAAACTTTATTATATTTTTTAAGATTAATGGAAAATGGCCAAATACCCAATTGAGTTTGAGTGAGGTGAGTACAATTTATTTGGTTACTCAAAAGAAAAGTAGGATACCCAATTAAGATGAACACAAGCGAGTACATAACTCAATGACCCAAAAAGTTATCTGTAGCTCTGTTGCATGTCTCTAAAACAACTAGGATATGTTGGACTTCCTGCCCCATCTTTTAATAGAGGCCAATTGTACAAAGTCTGCACACTCCTACAATTGTAATTACCATACTTCAAAACAGACCCATGATAGCTCTACTGCTGTGCGTCGATCTCATTTTCCATGTGAGACAATGAAAATTCTTTTGTTTACGGATTTAAGTTTTTATAACTGCCTACTCTTTTGATGATACATGGCTATGATTTTCAACATAGATCGTGCATCACAAGTGTTTGAAATGGCTTTTAATTGGTTGTTATTTTAAAAGTTGTTTTCGGAGATAAAGTCTCTGCTGAGTTAGTGATGTGAGAGATGAAGCTGGTGACTTAAGTTCCAGAATGATGCTCTGTGGCAGATTTTTTAAAATCAGATTTTTTCACTCATTTTTAGCTAGACTGCATAGATTTAAGGAAGAAACTATTTAATTAACCAATTGGTTTCCATATATGCTTTTTAGTTTTCCTTAGCTTCAAAATTCAACATTTGGTTTGAGATAAGAGTCTTCCAACCTCATCCTACCCTTGATTATCAAGGGTGCCATTTAGTTATGGTAAATACCCTTTAGCCAAGTTTTAAATACTTGTTATCCGGTCAGATTACACAATATTGGTTATTGGTAGGGGAAGTAGTGCTATCATAAACATTGATAAATACGATGTATACAATTTGAAATATAATTGAGAACACCTGGTAGCATTATTGCATCCCCTTTTCTGTGTTAATATTCATGAAAATATGTTTCTGTTCGACCTTTATTCTGATTTGTAGTAAAAATCTGTGAAATTTAAAACAACACTGATGGTACGGTTCAGAGGTTGTCGCTCGTTTGAATGCAGATCTATGCCAGACTTTTGTTTACTAGAGTTGTTGTTAGGTCAAGGTCATCAGGACCAGTAATCTTGTGCTGGCTGAGTGGTAGTGGTATGGAGATTGTGATCTCACATCCCTAACAAAGGTTTGGCGGCATAGTCCATGACTGAAAAATATCCCTGGTGATCGAGGATGACATACTTTCTCATCTGACAATCCACTGAAACTGAGTGTCCATTTGTCTATTTGTCAGTGCCAGAATCATCTCAAAACTTGTGCATGTGGTTTAACTAGTATATATATTTATATACAATGTCATGTAAAAATGTTCATTTAAATGGAGGTATTTTCTATATGAATATATGGCAGCATTTTTTCATAAGGAACCATTCATAATATATAGCTAGGAGAGGTGATGAAGATTTTTATGAAGAAGCATGTACAATGTGAATGACACCCCCTAAAATTTATGTACAATGTAAGTGAACACCCCTCCCCCTGCTTGTCATGTACAAAATTAATGACACGCTGCACCACCACCACCCACCACCACCACTTCATGTGTACAAAATAGATGCCCTACCCACAGGCCCTCGTGTCTTTGCGAGGATTAAAGATGTTAAAAAAACATAAAACATTTGAGATGATCCCCGACTCGAAATGCTTCACAGTACAATACATTATGACATAATGTATTGTACTGTGTAGCATTTCGAGTCAGGGGTCATCTCAAAAAAACTTTTTTTTTTAATCTTTAATCTTCGCAAAGACACGAGGACATGTGGACCTACCTACCCAGAACAAAATGGGTGACCCCCCTTAAAATCATCATCACCCCCATAGATTATGAACGGTCCCTAACAAGGTGGTTGATGTCATGTAAACAGGATGATCTGATGCAGCGGTTTTAATAAACTGTTGCAAATGTTGTTATGCAATGACACGTGAGGTGAGTGGTTTGACTAGAACGCAAAAGCACAAATCATTATCATAATTTTTTAAAAGTAAGGATTTAGACATATTTATATTTGTCCATTGGTCTAATTTTGTGCAATTAGAAAAATAAACTACTTATGTAAAATGACTTCGTAAATAATAAGTATTGATACATTGTATTGTTCATAATGAACTTTTTCTTTGAGGTACATGATATCAGTGGTGAAAGAGACAGTGACTGTACTGAACAGAAATAGCCATTTTCCCAAATAATTCTCTATTTGCAAGCAATAGAATTAATAATTAAATGAAATCAAATTAACCAAATAAACTTGTACTCTTATTTTATCCTCCCCAATCTAATTTGAAAGCAGTGGGAAACGTAAAATAAAATAAACTTTGTATTTCAAAGTTATTTACTTACAGTTTTAAAGATTGAATACTTGTAACTATTTATCACCATGTTCAATTAGTAATTATTGGACTTCATCAGTTGATGGCACAATGTTTGCTGGCAAATATATATATTTTGAGATTTATATACCAGTGACAAAGCGCTATTGATGATTCTGACACAGATCATAATGTTGTTGAAACATTGTTACTTATGTGTTTTATACAAAACTTACAAATTTGTTATTAAAGGATTAATACAAGGATATTCTGTATTATTTCATCTTCACTGTTTGTTTGTCTGTTGTTTAACCCTGCACTCAGGTCGCGATTGGGACACATGTCATCGTATCCAAATTGCGTAGATTGATGCTCGTGATGTTGATCACTGGATTGTCTGGTTTCTGTCACTAAACCAGAACAGCTGATTTCTGGTGTACCCCCTGTGATATGGCTGGAAGATTGCTAAAGGTGGCATCAAACTAAACTCACTCACAACACCATGTTCAGTCTTCATGTCAATGCTGTGTGGTATGGCTCAAGAAACAAATTACTACCAAAATGTGGGTTTAAATAGAGATTACAAAAGGAGTGGGTGTTGAATATGGAAAATATTCCAATGAGATATTTTTAAACAGCATGTCGCTTTCGCTTGTGAATATATCAAAACTTTTAATAATATCTTGTTGGAATATTTTCCATATTCAACATCCACGAGTTCTGAGATCTATTTATTACACTCAGGACGGGAAAACCGTGTGATCCATGATGACAAATCAAGCAGACGATGCCGAATGTAAACAATACGGAAGGGAGATAACTCTGTCATGACTACTTTATAGATGAAAATAAACAATTAAAAATATTCAATGGGAAGAAAACTATTAATCCCCAGGAAACCGAAATTGAATTTGAATATTCAACAAACCTAATGCTTTGTTTGGTTGACATTTTTGGTATAAAAAACTGCTTCAATGGAGTTATAATGTTAATGTAAATGAGGTGGAACAGAAAGTTCGGCATTATTGGATAGCTTTCAACTGGTTACACAAAACCTGCTTCAAATAATAAAAATTATCTCATAACGATATTCAGAACACATGTGTAATAAAGTATTATAGTTTTGTATTGTATATTTCTTATGACGTCGATTGAATATTATAGTTACCACGTAATCCTCTGTTTTTGACGCGGTGTGTCTATTTATAGCCTTAGTCGCGCAATACCACGGGGATTCCCCATCTTGTCACGCCGCTTTTAAAAGCTTGCAGGCTTATAACAGTTGTGTTGGGGCCGTGGGAAGGATAACAAAGATCGGCACATCTCAGGGAGACAGGTAAGTCACCATATTAACACCACAACTGCTGCAAATGGGCTGTGAGTGACTTTGATACTGATTTGAGCATTCTTACTGTGTAATACGGGATGTTTGTTGTTTAACGCCGCATTCTTGTTATTTGTTTTACCGCAAGTTTTATTTCTTCTCGTGAAATGTCGCTGTTAAGGGTCTCAGTATTGAAAATACATGTCTCATTTCTCGTCGAGATCAGCCTCGTTTGGTTCGAATTCCTCACTTATACCAACAAAATATTTGTAAAAAGTGTCAACATCGGGAGTATTTTCAGTTTGTTTACCTTTGTTGAGCATTTTCCAACATTCTCTATGCGAGCTCTTCTTATTCTTCCGGAATAGATAATTTATTTGATGTTGATAGTTTCGTATGTGTTAATCTAAACATTTTTTATAGTTTTTTGACATTAGTCGAAACTGTGCTCTATCAATAGCTGAATTTGATTTTTTTACTTTATATTTAGCTTTTTGGAATAATTTTCTACTGTTCCAGCATTCTTGACCAAACCAGGGCTTATCAGTATTTTTTGTATGAATGGCATTTAATTTTATATATTTCTTTTCTCCAAATGTTGTACAGGCTGCGTCAATAAGCACATTCCCGATATCACGAGTCATGCTGTTGATCACCTGTTCATTTAGCTGTGATCCACGCGCTGCACGTGCGCGCTCAATCAGTTCACACACCTTGCCTTGATTGATGTTGTTTTGAAATGTGAAGGATAAATCAGAGTCATATCGTTTCGGTTTTCTACTTTCAAATGGATTTCTATCTGGATTACCCTTTGAATGTGTTTGCATATCTGTCTGGGGAATTGTGGCCTTGAATGAGAACTTTACGGGGCAATGCACATCAGAAAATAGGGGTGAGTAATCTAAGATTTCAAAATTTGTAAAATGTGATAGACAGAGGGGAGTAGTTACAACATAATCAACCACAGATCTGACTTTACACGTTGCCTTACCAACCTTATGATCTTTTCCCAAACGACCATTACATATTAGTAAGTTAAGATGTTTACACATGTCGATAAGTTTGACTCCAAAATTATTTGTCCTATCTGTATCTTTGTTGATCTCTCATGAGGTAGGTTTAGTTCGTCTAGAACCAATTGTGGCTTAAGTTCAATATTCAGTTCATTTAAATCTAGTCCAAATTCATCTATAATGTGTTTATCAAATGCACTAAAATCACTCAAATTTCTAGTCCTTGCGTTAAAATCTCCAAACACAATAATGTAATCACTTACTGAAGCAAGATTAAGGATTGATGTCTCAAGTTCTGTAAAGACATCATGATGCACATATCTCGAACCCTCTGGTGGTATATATACGCAACCAAAGTACAAGTCTTGATTAATATTTACAAGTGACTTACATACTCTGATCCATAGCACATACTCATTGTCATCTTCTACAACAGATATATAATCCTTAAGATTATTTCTAACTGCAATCCTAATCCACCAGATGTTCTTAATGCCTTTTGTCGATGCTTAAGGTAAACTGTGAAGTTTTCAATATCAATCTCATCAAGAAAATCAGTTTTAGTCTCCTGAAAGCCCACAATGTGATTTTCTGCAATCAGGGATACGAATTCATTATATTCTAATCTTTTTCTAAGTCCACATACATTCACAGAGAGACAATTATCGATCAACGCAGTTGGGATACGATGGCGTGTGTTTGAAGTGGGATGTAAGCCCTCACAAACACGGGTCGCCGCCTAGTTTGATCGGGGGTACCTCACTGTGCCCCCTACCTTTGTTTCAGGGTGTCACCCGTGGTTAACTAACTGACAATGGGGGGATTAAGTACAGCCTGTTCTGAAATTTAGTGTACCACAGCATATAACATTCACACATGATACATGAGACATGAAACTCGCATTTACATCACCATTTGACTTATACACCAATACATTGAACAATGCATATAACATTCACACATGATACATGAAACATGATACTCGCATTTATCATGCAAAACTGTGTTCCACAGTAGATATCGCTTGTGTGAGATCAGACGATATCTCCTAGGAGATATCTTTTTGACAGTAGATTTTATACAATTCCCTGACAATGCTATGACGTCATGAACTTGTTGACGTCACAATGCTATGACATAGCTGCACTGCAAATCTAATGGCAGTACTGTGTTCAGAGATGTACATTTTTCATTGAAAATTAATGAAGAGTGATTTTTGATGATAAATAGAATCTCACCCTCGTGTCTTCTGATATCAAATATATCAACACTCGTTGATAAAAGTAAAAATATCCTCGGCAAGCCTCGGATATTTCTTACTTTATCAACTCGTGGTGATATATTTGATATCAAAAGACACTCTGGTGAGATTCTTTATTTATCATCCAAAACTGTGTTCCACAGGAGATATCGCTTGTGTGAGATCAAACGATATCTCCTAGGAGATATCGTTTTGACAGTAGATTTTGTACAATGCCCTGACAATGCTATGACGTCATGTACTTGATGACGTCACAATGCTATGACATCGCTGCACTGCAAGTCTAATGGCAGTTCCATGTTCAGAGATGTACATTTTTCATTGAAAATTAATGAAGAGTGATTTTGGATGATAAATAGAATCTCACCCTCGTGTCTTCTGATATCAAATATATCAACACTCGTTGATTAAAGTAAAAATATCCTCGGCAAGCCTCGGATATTTGTAACTTTATCAACTCGTGTTGATATAATTGATATCAGAAGACACTTGGGTGAGATTCTATATTTACATCACCATTTGACTTATACACCAATACATTGAACAATGCATATGACATTCACACATGATACATGAAACATGATGAATCAACTTATACACCAATACATTGAACAATGCATATGACATTCACACATGATACATGAAACATGATACTCGCATTTACATCACCATTTCACTTATACACCAATACATTGAACAATGCATATGACATTCACACATGATACATGTGACATGATACTCGCATTTACATCACCATTTGACTTATACACCAATACATTGAACAATGCATATGACATTCACACATGATACATGACACCATCGAGGTGACGATATTTCGGTCTTTTGAGTCCCGGCCTTCCACCACCACCTATCTGCAGCATCATGGCATCGGTGTAGCAGTGTTCCTTCTTGATCAGGGGCGGTGGGGTAGCCTAGTGGTTAAAGCGTTGCCTCGTCACGCCGAAGACCCGGGTTCGATTCCCCACATGGGCACAATGTGTGAAGCTAATTTCTGGTGTCCCCCGCCGTGATATTGCTGGAATATTGCTAAAAGCGGCGTAAAACTAAACTCAGTCAGTCAGTCAGTCCTTCTTGATCATATCAATGAACTTGCAGATGTTTTCAATCTTTTAATTTACTTACATGATATCAACTCACTTATATATTCTACAAAATAATTTGATTTTTTGATTAACACAGTTCACTGTCAGCTGCAGACACTAATTAGCTGCTGGGGCTCAGAGCCAGTTAATATCTTGTCACAACAGCACCCACTATATCCCTTTTCATAACATTTTGCTGGGGGGGCACAGTGAGGTTAAACCGTTTGATCAATCCACAAGTATTGATAATGGTCCCCCGCCGTGATATTGATGGAAAATCTCAAAGCGGCGTAAAAATAAACTCACTCACTCAATCGCAAATACAGAAGCGAATGTATGATACATATTCAGACATTGTTATACATAATATTCGAACACAGTTACAACTGTTTTCAATACGGGCAACACATACAATAACCCAAAGCAAACACAATGTCTTTCACTTTCAGCTTAGACTTGATAAGACATGCTCGAGTATCATCATGTACAAAAATAGATTCACGTCATAAATATTCCGTTTTTTGAATTAGCTAAGATACATAGCGCTCACTAACATGGACACTGTTCATGTTCAACTAGTGCACGCTATGTATCAGCTATTTTTGAATATGCAAGCATGCTAGTTCAAAGGTTCACGTAGATTGAATAATATCCGTGAAATCACACACAAGGAAGTCACTGCTTCAATGACTGTTACTTACAAGACTTAGTGTCCCGTTTTGAGCCGTTGGAGCTTGTTGCTTCAAGAGTACGACTTAGTGCGGCACATGAAAAGGTCCGACATCCCAGCTAGTATCACGTGAAAGTGGGCCATTTCTGGCACCGTAAAGTCAGAAAATCAGGCCAATTTAAGGCATTCCGGGACTTGGCCTGTACTATTTCGAACATTGGCGTTGAACTGGACCAGTACAGACAAAGAAGTATGGCCCAGAACACAGCCGTAACGGTTACAAATTGGCCCTTTACAGTTGTATACTCCCCAGGGAGTTGAGATGGATAATACGATGAGCCGTTGAGATTGACATCCAATGATCGAGGGGAAAAATAACAGCGCCTTCAGCATGCACTAGTGTGTGGATATGTGCACTATATAAATATCCTATATTAATAATAATAATAATAATAATATATGTATTCATGCATACGTTGTGGGCATTATTGATAATAGAATCAAGCTGTTCAGTGAACTGTAGTAAGGTAATACCTATAGTATATGTCCCTCTGTAAATGTGATGCATGGTATGCTTATGGTTTTCAAGCTTATATTCATGTCCGTAGTATGTATTTATAGTGAGTGAGTTTAGTTTTATGCCACGTTTAGGAATATTCCAACAATATCACGACGGGGACAGCAGAAATGAGCTTCACACATTGTACCCATGTGTGGAATCGAACCCGTGTCTTCAGCGTGGCAGTATATAGTGATAAAACATTTTTCGTAGGTTCTAGTTTTATCCAAAGAAAAAGTGTTATCAATCTGTATGAGCCTAACGTGATGATGACTACATGTCACATGTAGAAATGTATTTTCATTTACTTTCACTTAAATATCAGCGTTTGGAAATGGAACCAGACTGTATGGTGGTACGGCAGAGGAAATGTCTTGAATGTGACAATGTCAAACTGGGTATTAATGTGATATTAGCAATATTTATAATGAAATCAGTTGCGTTTTCGCTGTTTTGTGATTGGACTTTCAATGCTCTCATTTATCTTAATGGGCAAGTTCATCTTCTAGTGATAGATTGTGGGGATCCTCGATTATGACTGTGTGTTTGCATGCTAGTGTGAGAATAATAATATTCTGCATTTTCTCTTGGTGTTTCAGAAAAATATATAATTGGAGACTAACTGGATCAATAAAGAGTGATAAAAATGGCGTCCCTGGAACTACAGAGGCACAACCAGACAGTACTTGACAACTTGGAACCTGGTGATAGGTTGCAGTTTAAGCGAGGAGTGTACGATCACTGGGCTGTGTACGTCGGTAAGTGTAGTGTGACAAACTATTAATGCAAAATCTTGTGTTTATCTCTTGTTGAATGTTGAATACTGTGTCAATAATATTCGAGGAATATGACAGTGGTCTGTAAATAACCACGGCTGGCTCAGCCAATCCAGTGATTGAAATCATGAGCATCGATCCATGGAATTGTTGGTATTCATAAATATGTATACAGATTCGCAGTAAAACATGCTTGACGTTTTGAGATCTGCACAATAAGGTGCGAATCTAGTATTCCGTCATTGATATCACAATGCATATGTCCTACCTGTGCAGATGTTGTGTTTGCCTGCTTGTTTCTTGTTGAATGTTCGGGAATGGATGGTCAGGCTCGCTGACTTGGTTGACACATGTCATCGGTTCCTAATTGCGCAGATCGATGCTCATGCTGTTGATCATTGGATTGTCTGGTCCAGAGTCGATTATTTACAGACCGCCGCCATATAGCTGGAATATTGCTGAGTGCGGCGTAAAACTAAACTCACTCACTCACTCTTGTTAAATGTTGTATCACCAACTACCCGTGAAGATCCGGGTTAGAATTGGTCTTCAGCAACCCATGCTTACCCTATGAGGCGACTAACGGGGTGGGGTGGTCATGCCTGCTGACTTACTTAGTACATCCTCATAATGCCAATCACTGGATGGTCTGGTCCAGACTAGACTGCTTACAGAGAGTCTTCATAAAGTAGGAAATATGCCGTTAAACAACAGAGAAACAATAAAACTATATGTCCACGATTTGTGCGTTTCAGAACCATATGTGTCAAGGTGGAAATATTCAATTACGGAGGCGCGTAAAGGTTTAAACGCGTAGATTCTATATTAACCTGAAGATATCTTTTCTGAAAGATGAATTCTTCAACACCAGTACTTTAACATCATATCATAAAGTTAATAAAGAGGTTGTGTATCGGTCATTCCGTTATTTCTGACAGAATTGCATAGGTATCTCGTAATAGTTATTATTAACATATTTGTCATGTCTGTTTTAGGTAACAAGGAAGTCGTGCACTTGTCTGGAGTCGATGGTCCAATGGGAAGTAACCTGAATCACTCATGCACAATAAGTGGAGTAGAGTTTGATAAAGGAATTATTCGCAAAGATGCGTTTTGGGACGTTGTTGGAGACAGCAAAGTGTACAAAAACAACTCAAAGGACAAGAAATTAAAGTAAGTTTTGTTTGTTCAATGCGGAACTAATTTAATTTCCACTTGTAAGATGGTGTGACATGTATATATTTAGTTCTGGATCAGACAAACCAGTGATTGATATTGTCGGAAATGAACGTTACTCCCAGTAACGACCCTAGAAGAACGGTTCCTTTTGAAATCCTGGTAAATGGTTTATATCCAGTTGTGGATGTCACTCCATCGTCTCCAATAATGCCAAGGAATTGAATTCCGAATGATCATAGTGTTGTTCTGTTGTTTCCAGACACTTGGCACCATCTAAGATAGTACAAAGAGCATTATCCAAACTTGGAGAAGTTGGATATAACCTGCTCTTCGAAGAACTGTGAACACTTTGCTTCATGGTGCCGGTATGATAAAGAAGAAAGTGATCAGGTTTGTATTAGTTTTGTCCAACCGTTCCTTTGCCAGGTTTATTTGTCTTATTACGTTGAATTACGTTGAATTGCGTTTAGATCTGCTCAGACAACTATTTATCTTGCCACTGGTCAAATATACAAACGATGTATTTACTAGTAGCCAATCCTGGAATGTATGTTGCGAAGGGACATCTAAAGTCAGTGTGTCACCATGGTCCCTAGTATGGTGATCTACCTTCAGTTGTTGGCGATCTATAGCCCATTTTTACATTACGTTTTCTACTTTTAAAGATATATACTACAGCTTGTTCAGCTGACCTGAGCTACTCTACATATGCATGACCCGGGAGGTCAAATGTCACAAACGGTAGATCGGGTTATCTTAATTAAATAGGGGTGCAGCGAATGTTATTAATGCTGCGTTCGTGGGAAGCATGCAAACATAGATTCGTTACAGAACTTGTCCCGGAAAACAACACTTCTAGAAAAACCCAATCATGTCAAGTTTTAATTGAATTGTTTAAACAGTCATATCTTATCTAGTTTGGTTTGATAACTTTACAACTTACAGACGTCAGTTACTTTCACAATCCGATTTACTCTCGCTATCACTCTCTACACCCAGTTCAATTATCACTTCATATCCCCCGCCGCGCGTTTAGCGCGAAGCGGGGGATATAGTATTAGGTCCGTCCGTCCGTCCGTCCGTCCGTCCGTATGTACGTACGAATTGGTTCTTAAGAACCGTTCTCTAGATTCTTTTCATATTTGGTACCTAGGTTCATCACAGTATAAGAAAGGTCCAAGTCAGGTTTGGTGACCTTGACCTTCATTTCAAGAAGTTATCTGTAGCTCTGTAAACTCACTCACTTCTTTTATATAACCACTAAACTGTGATGAAATTCAGATTATTTGTGCAGCTTGAAGGAATTGTGTCAATCAGAGCATTAACTCCACAATTATTTATTTGATGTAGCTGGTATATTCTTGACTATTGAACATTCAATTTTATGGTTATGTTCTTGTGTTTAGGTGGACAGTTTCAAGACTGGGTTCATGGTTGGAATAGCTGCAGTTGTTACAACTGCCATTGTTTCGTTCCTTGGAGGAAGAAGTAAAACAAAGGAGAAGAAGGAGGAAGAACCTTACTAGATGTGTAACCATCCTCGTTTATCCAGTGGGCAGTCTGTGAAGAGTATTATGTTCTGGTCCCAGGCCACATATTTCAACCCCTGTTTTAGGCTTCTTATGTTTTCGGAATACTTAATCAAGAGCAGGTAACTCTAATCAGTCTTTCTGGTCCCCAGCCACATCAGTTCCAAACGCTGCTTCAGGCTTTCAATATTTTTGGGAATTTTAACCAAGGGGAAGTAACTCTAAGCTGTTTTTTCTCCAAACCCAGGCCTTTTGAGTCTGCGCGGTTTGTAGGTTTTAGGAAGGTTATAACATCTTTTTATGTCAAGTGCAGATTAGATAACACTCTAATGAATTGTAAGGAGTAATCTGTGGGTTTTGTTTTAAATTATTGTATGAATTTCATATGCAAATGAGCATGTAAAAAAGTCTGTTTCAACTGAGACAATTCAAATTACACTGTTGATTGATGTGGAAGCAACAGTATCGCCAGTACTTGATATTTGCATGTCTCTAAAACAGCTAGGAAATGTTGGACCTCCTGCCCCATCATTTAATAGAGGCCAATTGTACAAAGTCTGCACACTCCACAATTGTAATTACCATACTTCAAAACAGACCCATGATAGCTCTACTGCTGTGCATTGATCTCATTTTTCCATGTGAGACAACGAAAATTATTTCTTTTTACGGATTTAAGTTTTTATAACTGCCTACTCTTTTGATGATACATGGCTATGATTTTCAACATAGATTGTGCATCACTAGTGTTTGAAGTGGCTTTTAACTGGTTGTTATTTTAAAAATTGTTTTCGGAGAGAAAGTCTCTGCTGAGTTAGTGATGTGAGAGATGAAGCTGGTGACTTAAGTTCCAGAATGATGCTCTGTGGCAGATGGTTTCAGAGTATTTGTGATGGAGGGTAACTTCCCTCTGCGGCACTTGTCTCTGTCACACATCACTGATTTCATAGGCCACAGAGGGAAATTGATTAGAGGCCATGTGCCACAGGGGTGCAGGTCACCGTGATTGAGATAGGATATATCCTGGATATTCAAGGATGGGTAACTTGTCCTGAATTATCCTTTTGGAACCTTGTGCAGGGTTTGCATGGGCTTGTAAAAGTCTAAAGGAATTTTTTAATTTTGAAAATCAGACTTTTTCACTCATTTTTAGCTAGACTGCATAGATTTAAGGAAGAAACTATTTAATTAACCATGTGAATGCGTTCTTTGGCTTCCATATATGCTTTTTAGTTTTCCTTAGCTTCAAAATTCAACATTTGGTTTGAGATAAGAGTCTTCCAACATCAACCTACCCTTGATTATCAAGGGTGCCATTTAGTTATGGTAAATACCCTTTAGCCAAGTTTTAAATACTTGTTATCCGGTCAGATTACACAATATTGGTTATTGGTAGGGGAAGTAGTGCTATCATAAACATTGATAAATACGATGTATACAATTAGTATGATTTCATATAATCTGAAATATAATTGAGAACACCTGGTAGCATTATTGCATCCCCTTTTCTGTGTTAATATTCATGAAAATATGTTTCTGTTCGACCTTTATTCTGATTTGTAGTAAAAATCTGTGAAATTTAAAACAACACTGATGGTACGGTTCAGTGGTTGTCGCTCGTTTGAATGCAGATCTATGCCAGACTTTTGTTTACTAGAGTTGTTGTTAGGTCAAGGTCATCAGGACCAGTAATCTTGTGCTGGCTGAGTGGTAGTGGTATGGAGATTGTGATCTCACATCCCTAACAAAGGTTTGGCGGCATAGTCCATGACTGAAAAATATCCCTGGTGATCGAGGATGACATACTTTCTCATCTGACAATCCACTGAAACTGAGTGTCCATTTGTCTATTTGTCAGTGCCAGAATCATCTCAAAACCTTGTGCATGTGGTTTAACTAGTATATATATTTATATACAATGTCATGTAAAAATGTTCATTTAAAAGGAGGTATTTTCTATATGAATATATGGCAGTATTTTTTCATAAGGGACCATTCATAATATATAGCTAGGAGAGGTGATGAAGATTTTTATGAAGAAGCATGTACAATGTGAATGACACCCCCTAAAATGTATGTACAATGTAAGTGAACACCCCTCCCCCTGCATGTCATGTACAAAATTAATGACACGCTGCACCACCACCACCACTTCATGTGTACAAAATAGATGACCTACCCACAGGCCCTCATGTCTTTGCGAGGATTAAAGATGTTAAAAACACATAAAACATTTGAGATGATCCCCGACTCGAAATGCTTCACAGTACAATACATTATGACATAATGTATTGTACTGTGTAGCATTTCGAGTCGGGGGTCATCTCAAAAAAACTTTTTTTAATCTTTAATCTTCGCAAAGACACGAGGACATGTGGACCTACCTACCCAGAACAAAATGGGTGACCCCCCTTAAAATCATCATCACCCCCATAAATTATGAACGGTCCCTAACAAGGTGGTTGATGTCATGTAAACAGGATGATCTGATGCAGCGGTATTAATAAACTGTTGCAAATACTTTCTGTTATGCAATGACACGTGAGGTGAGTGGTTTGACTAGAACGCAAAAGCACAAATCATTATCATAATTTTTTAAAAGTAAGGATTTAGACAAATATATATTTGTCCATTGGTCTAATTTTGTGCAATTAGAAAAATAAACTACTTATGTAAAATGACTTCGTAAATAATAAGTATTGATACATTGTATTGTTCATGGTTACAGGAAACAATGAACTTTTTCTTTGAGGTACATGATATCAGTGGTGAAAGAGACAGTGACTGTACTGAACAGAAATAGCCATTTTCCCAAATAATTCTCTATTTGCAAGCAATAGAATTAATAATTAAATGAAATCAAATTAACCAAATAAACTTGTACTCTTATTTTATCCTCCCCAATCTAATTTGAAAGCAGTGGGAAACGTAAAATAAACTAAACTTTGTATTTCAAAGTTATTTACTTACAGTTTTAAAGATTGAATACTTGTAACTATTTATCACCATGTTCAATTAATAATTATTGGACTTCATCAGTTGATGGCACAATGTTTGCTGGCAAATATATATATTTTGAGATTTATATACCAGTGACAATGTGCTATTGATGATTCTGACACAGATCATAATGTTGTTGAAACATTGTTACTTATGTGTTTTATACAAAACTTACAAATTTGTTATTAAAGGATTAATACAAGGATATTCTGTATTATTTCATCTTCACTGTTTGTTTGTTTGTCTGTTGTTTAACCCTGCACTCACTCAGGTCGCGATTGGGACACATGTCATCGTATCCAAATTGCGTAGATTGATGCTCATGATGTTGATCACTGGATTGTCTGGTTTCTGTTACTAAACCAGAACAGCTGATTTCCAACTGGTTACACAAAACCTGCTTCAAGTAATAAAAAATATCTCATAACGATATTCAGAACACATGTGTAATAAAGTGTTATAGTTTTGTATTGTATATTTCTTATGACGTCGATTGAATATTATAGTTACCACGTAATCCTCTGTTATTGACGCGGTGTGTCTATTTATAGCCTTAGGCGCGCAATACCACGGCGATTTCCCATCTTGTCACGCTGCTTTTAAAAGCTGGCAAGCTTACAGCAGTTGTGTTGGGGCCGTGGGATAACAAAGATCGGCACATCTCAGGGAGACAGGTAAGTCACGATATTAACACCACAACTGCTGCAAATGGACTGGGAGTGACTTTGATCATCAATACTGATTTGAGCATTCTTACTGTGTAATATTAGATATTCCAGCTATATTTACTTCCCATCAAAAGTTTACTCACATAAAACACTGTATATATACACATATGTATATATATATATATATGGTTAC